TGCTCTTGCTGTAAATTCGAGCACGAATGCTTGCCAGAAGGCAAAGACTACTCGGCAGATGTCAGCGGCAATTCGGCGTGGCACCATGGTTGCCATGATGCCGCCAGCAAACGCGGTGATCATCTGGAATTGTGCACCTGCCGGGGCTACAATGTGTTCCGTTCAAGACAAAGAGTCCAAACGGGTCAAGCGTAATCCATCGCGACCGTTTGCAGGGTCTGACGGCAAAGCTCATGCGACATCAGCACGAGCTCAAGACAGCTCAAGCCTTGCGACGGCAAACGAGGGCTGGCGAGGCCCTCGTTGACCTGGCGTTGCCATCCAGTTTTGCAATGCCAAGAAATACAGCTCACCGCTCCCGAGCCCAACTGAAACCAAGTCATACATTGGTGGTCTTTTGCAGCTCCCAGATTCAGGATTTCTTCTGAACCTCATAGAACTTGAATGCCGGGCTGGGAGTTTTTTCTTCGCTGATCCGCCAGGGGTTTCATGTACACTTAGACGTTCAGACCTTCAGCCTACACTCGGTCACTCGTCCCTAATCACCTAATCAACGACCAATATGGGCGACGAGTCCGCCAGTCGTGCAGGATGAAAACCGCCGGACTGCCTCGTAGAGGAGACCCAGAGCGCGGACCTCCGCCTCTGTCTTCAGGGCCTGGGCGGCATCACACAGGACAATGCGGTGCAGCTACAGTCGAGTGCTGGCAGGCCCCTCGGCCGCACAGCTGCCAGCTGACGGGCGCACAAGCGCACGCTGGCGATGTCGAATGCCTTGCCACGTTCGCTCAACACATCCAAACATCAACCTGCATCAGCTCAGCATTCACGAACTTCATATTCTTAAGATTGCTGTGGCCCCACGCCACCGGTGCCACAGGACATCGAGCAGTCGGACCATGACCTGCCGTGGGGTCCGTTCCAAAGAAAGAGTAAAGACTAAGGGATGGCAAATGATGGCAACATATGCAACATGTCAAACTACCTGCGTTTCCCATAGGTGTAGTTCTGGCAGGGCTGAGACCATGCACTTGCAGAATGCACGTGTGTGCTGCCGCTGTCTCGGTGCACATACAAGTTAACTCTTTGCTCTCACGTTGCAAGGAAGATGCGGATGGAGAGAGCCATTTCTGCAGCGTCAACACGAGCCGGCACGACTCCCACTGAGACCAAATGCAGTACATCCTTAGGCAGGCGACAAGCATGTTTGCTTTCGTATTACCCACGTGGACACATGGTGAAAACGAAAAGCGCATGCATGGCATACAAGCTGCAAACCTTGTTTTTTAATTCTGATCATTTCCTGATTGTGGAAATGTGCACGAACATAATACGAAGATCCGGATCCGGATTGCATGCCCTCCCGAGCACACCGTCTGCTGCAGGCTAAAGACTTGGGTGCCGCCTCGCACTCTGGGCTACCCTGCGCTTCGTGGCATTTGCGAGGGCAACGCCCCGTCTCCTCGGCCGCTCCCAGCCTGAAAGTGTCAGTGCTCACCTTCTCCAGCTCTCACTACATCGCTTCGCGCTGTCCTAATGCCTGATAGCTTCGAGCACTGTGCTGTGCCACAGGCTGTGCCAATGTGCACTGCCCGGCTAAAGTGTTGAAGGCGTGATTCACGAAAGGCAGGCAAGCGGCAGGTGTTCTGCTTAGGCTCCGGACTCACACGGTCGACCGCCGTTCAAAGCCTCGTGGAGCACGTGCCGGAATCGCTCCCTGGCAGCATGCAGTTCTGCAGCCTTCCCTTGTCTCATGCTAGGCTCTTTCGATCCTGATCTGAAGACAAATTCATAAACACCTACCGACACTTACCCAAGGTTTCATGTCCAGAAGAACGTGCAATCAAAAACCTCTACGAAACCCACTCCAAGACTTCGGACCCCGACTAAAACATTGCCAAGGATACAGAAAGCCGTTGCCTTTGACCGCCGCACTTGTTGCAGGCCCCCCACTGGCTCCACTCTCCCCAACCTCAACAGCATTAAGTGATCTTCCACAAGGCTCGCTGTCGGCAGCCATGAGGGACATGGTCTGAAGATGTCTGAAGAGTCGGGAACAGCTGTAAACTTGCTCACATTGAGTTCCCGTAGTCCGAAAACCAATGACATTCTGCAAAAAGACTCCATGGTACGAGTTTGTACTTCAGGCCGTCCCTATATTGCTCGGAATGGGCTTCCGAATTCTGGCACCATGTTTGTCTTAACGTGGGTTTGGCTACAGTTATCTTGAGGGAGCTGCCACCCATTCCAGAGAACTCAGATGCTGGCGACAATCCCTTCTTGGGCCTTCATGGTGGCACTCCTCCGCTTGGCAGGCCGTGCAAGCTGGGGCTGCACTTCAACAAAAGACAGCGGCAGCTCCCCAAAGACTTAGTCACTCACGCGCCTGGTTATGGCATCCTCGGGTCTCTGTGAGGGATCCCATGCCTGCTGGAACAAGACTTCAACAGAGTCGACACAGAATTTCACAGAACACAGAACCTGGTAACCTGCAAGACCCGCCCCGAAAACAAGCCTGTATCGAGTCATCGAGTTAGTGATTCCTTCTGTCCAACCCTGAGGATCTGGCAAGGCGTCCCGCCGCCTCGGGCCTGACTTCAAGGAAAAGTAGAAGCAACGAACCTCCGCTGCCACTGGACTCTTGCAGGTTTTCGGCAGTCGGACTGCCGGCGCAAAGGAACGCCATTTCCGCCGCCGGTCGCGGAGCAAAAGAAAGCCTTTGACCATCCCGGCGGAAAAAGAACATCGGCTCCTGTGAAAAGTGTTTCGTTGGCTCTGCGACTGCTCCGGGCGCTCCACACACGAGGGATTAGAAGCCGCGGGCGGGTCGCGCGGCGACAAAACGAGCTCCACAGGCTTGTGCACTACAGACTTCCCGACGAGTAAACATCCACCGTGGCGGCGTGATTTCACGGCTCAGCGGCTTTCCGAAGCAGGTAGCCAAATTGCTTAAGTATTCCGTAATGCCAGTGTACCCCCAACCCCAAGACTCTGTTGAAGAGCTTGCAGGTGCTATGTGTACCCGGACAATGTGGTACGTAACACTCTGCGGTTCTTCCATTGGGGATAGAAGTGGTAAAGAGGATTCAAGCGCCGTTCGTCTGAAGCTCACCCGGCCGGTGCACACGGCCACTATAGCATCAACTCTTGCTTCTTATCCACAGTTCTGCTTTGTGGCACTGTTTCCGGGACGTCGAAGTCAGGGCAAAATGACTTCGGCGCTCGCGAACTTGATGAATCTCGCTCCTGCCAGTCCTATGCTCAGTTTTACTTTCACATCGCTTGCAGTCTCTTGAATCTGGCACGGCTGCCTGGCGTGGTCGCGAAGTTTTTCTGCTCTGGTGTTCAACGTGTGGTTCGTGTGTTCGGGTGCAGCCGTGCTCGCGCCGCACTGCTTCCAAGCGCTTCAGGCGGCATTTCCCGAGCCACCATTTTCAGACTCTATAAAGTGATAAAGTGACAAGTGCTGCCATCCCCCTGCCACTGTTCTGCTGGCTGTGGATGTGACCATCAGTTGACTCCTTGCCCGTGCACTAGCTGACTAGCTGCTCCGGGAAGCTTTTGCTGTTTCCCCGGTGGACCGCCGATGAAAGGCACGGCATTGAGAAGTCACGGTGTGTCCCTTGCCTCGTGGTCTACACTCCGCTCGCGCATGGACTGGCCACCACCGCCTGGCTGTCAACGAGACAGAAGTTTAAAGCCGACTCGCAGCAACAAAAACGTTTGAATTACAGCGCCCTGTCATGTTCTGCTACAGCAGCTCTCAGCGACCGAAACAGTTTCGCTTTCGTCAGCGCGATGCAACGTGGCTGGCATGCAGGTGACGTCGCACTGGCCCCAGGAAGACCACCTCAGAGTTGCGAACCAAAACATGCTGCGAGCCGACCCAAGACAAGTTGAAAAGCTCTCGGATCCGAGCTGGCTGATGATGCAGTCTCGCGCATGCACCTGGTCTGGCCAAACACGCAAACAAACGCTGAAGCTTGATATGCTCGACGCCCGTCACGAGGCGACGGCAGGCTGGCAAGCGATGGGCGCAGGGGCCCCTGGGCTTGGGGCACACGGGGAAGTCTCCTGAATGGAGACGATCTTCATGCAAGGGAGCAGATACCACATGCGAACAACGATTCCGGAGTGATGGAGGCGGTGCAGGCGCATGGCTCATGCTTAAGTCTTAGGTCAGTCTCACTCGTCCTTGGTGGCACCAACACACCACTCACCCCTGCCCCGGCCATGTACCTTGGCAAACGAGAAGTTCAGGGCCCAGCATCAGCCAAGAGAGGAGCGGCAAGGGAAAGACAGGGTTCTGATTTCTTTGCATCCAAAGCCGTCGACTTGCACAATTTCTTTTATGCAAATGGCAGGATTCTGGGCGTATCTTCAAACTTTCTATTTCTGAAGGGCACATAACCGGTTGCCCTATTCCGAAACCTGAACTCTGGATCACGGCGGCCCGATTCGGACGTTTCAAGCTTTTCGCGACGAGGCTTACGTCAGGCATGCCTGTGCTGGCAGGTGTGCAATCGCATGCCTCTTCAAGTCACAACGGCCTCGCGCATGACTCGTGACCGCTCAACATCCTTGAACGGCGTCTCTCCGAGTGCCCGACAGCAATCCGGCGAGAGCGTCGCTTGATGCCATCACAAGTCCTCCCAAGCTACGAGCAGCTCCAACACCAGCAGCGCTGAAGGCTAGGCCAAGATGAAGTCCGACCATCTCATTCCATCTCCGACCATCCAGTATCATCCAGCTCTGCATAAACTCCTTACCCCTTTCATCGCCTTCCCCACCCAAGCGCCTGGTACATGCACTCCACTGTGTCCAGGAATCAAACTGGCAATTGACGTCCCCAGCGCAAGGCACATTCTGGTTGCAAGGAGCCTGGCACAAGGACCCAGGTACTGATGCGAACGACTTCCGACTCGGAGCTCCAGGTATGTGCAAAAAAAGCAACTGCCAACAATGATTGCCAACGGCCCAAGCGAGCCAGGATGGCCACATCCCGCGAGAATCCTTCGGCAGGTCGGCCGCATTCATTGGCCTCCGGATCACGCTGCTTTGCAGGAGAAATAGCGAGAGTAGGAACTTACTGATGCTTAATGCTGCTTTCGTGTAGCTTCTTCTTCATTCAAGCCATCCAGCCTACCAGTTAAGCATGATCCATCAAGCTTGTGCTGATCGACACAACCTTTCAATCTTGTCTCGGGATTGTAAGCCGGAGTGCAGCACCACGAGGCGACGTGCCGCTATGCGCCAGATCATGGATGACATCTTGTTTGCTGCCCAAAGGGCACGGGCTGAGCTGTCATTATGTCTTGCTGCTCTTTTTACTCGCTTGTTCAGGTTGTAGTCTCAGGTTCGGAAGTGAAAGAAAGCTCCGAGTGTACGAGCTTCCCGAGGGCCGCGGCTGATGAGGTTTTGGAGGACTTGCGAGAGATGACAACAGGGAATCTGAGCTCCTGCAAACATTCGTTGTCTCTGACGTCATTCTCTTCGCAAACGTGGTCTGCGGAAGTTGTGCAGCACCTCTCCACCCGAACAACACTCTACGGCATGCTCTTGGGCCACTTGGGCCCCCTGTCCCCCATGGGCCTGGCACTTGGATGGAACTCCTGGACATCTCAAACTCCGTAAGAGCCGTAGAAAGCCGCCGTACTGAACCACATGGTCGAGTGAATGGATGTGTGTAGTGGGACTGAGGGAGCAGGTAGGCAGTGCAAATTGGGATGGAGTCAAGCCTTGGTCATCTTGCACGCATCACTTTTCGTTCATCTTCCATCTCATTTGTGCTGCGCAATTCCGTTGTCTGGCGCAATGGGGCAGGATCCATAGCACAGACGCATCATTACACATCGTTTTGGTGTACTGTTTCTGGAGTGTGACCAGACATTGACACAAAAAATTCTCATCGCGGCATTGTCATCGTTATTATCTTCATCCTCCGGCTTGCATCGATCTGACTGCCTTATGAAACTCTCTGTGACTGTGTGTGTTGGCAAACGTGTTTGCATATGTATGTGCGTATTTTTGTGCATATGTATGTATGTATGGTAGGTACATGGGTATAGGCAGGTATAGGTAGGTAGATAGCTGGCTGCAGTAGGTGGGTCTGTACATGTCTGACTTCCTATGGGTCTATGGCTGGTACAGGTGCGGGATCGTGCGGGCATGCCCGTTTGCACGCCTGTGAAAGGGTTTGCAAATTGGTGTGGCTGTCGGGCGCCTTTGCAGTTTCACGGCAGCTGCCAACATCCGAAGCTAGAGAGTTTCATCCGCTCCTTTCTTTCCAGGTCGACGCAACTCTGATTCTGATTCAATATTCATCTAGGAACAATTCTTCGGAAAGAAGTCTGGTACAAGTTCGTTGCAGTCGGAGCCCCACCTCGTGCTCCATCCGTCGATGACGGTATCGTAAACCTCCGGTGCCTGGGCATGAGAGGCACGATATCAATAAGACCCAGTGCTGCTCCATTCTGTTCTGCAATGCTCGCAGCACGCTTGTGAAATTCACCCGATCTCTCTTCCAGTCATGCTGGGCACGAGGGGCGGCTTACACGTGGCGGTATCTCCCTTGCCCGAAGCTTTGTTTGTTTTGCACACCTGAGCCTAAACAAAGCGTCGGAGGATTCGAAACCTTGGGAATTAATGCTTGTGACGAGCAATGAAACAGACTCACTGAAGCGTTGTTCACCACAAACTTATGCCTTACAACCCAGGCACAGAAGCACCGAGGCGGGAGCAGGAGGCAGAGCAGGGTGACCACTCCTTTCGTGCATCGAAACTCAGCGAGGGTCCTGTGCATGCCTGTTCTGCAAGACCGCAGATGTCTAGACATCTACTAGAAGCATTGCAGCAAGTGCCTAAAAAATCCCTCCAGGAGCCGCGAGCTCCTGCCACTCGCCCCAGGCTCCATCGCGGCAGGCAGTCTCTGCGCAGCTGTGCGTGTTGCAAGGGCCGATCTGCCAAGACGCGACTCCACTCCCCGATGTTAGAGCGATCACCATCAACACGCATGCAATCAATGCCATCTCAAAACGCGTGCCTTGCAAAGTCATCTTGCACGCTGAATCTGGTATGCAGATCACGCACAAATGCTTGACTGGCCTCCTCTTTGTGCTTTGCTTCGCATCGGCCACCTCCGCCCTGACAGCCGTGTGGATGAAGCTTCCAGCGACTTCGATGCATGTTCGGAGGCAGTCTATTGTTGAACGACGTTTGGATGAATGGAATGTTGCATTTCATGTTCAGCTTCCGAAGCTCGAAGCGAGCAGACAAAACACATAGTTAAGACACACGGATTGAATCTTTCTTCCCTCTGACAGAACCGCCAATCACCACATCTTGCCTAATGAAGGGCCTAATGTTACCTGTGGTCAGAAGCATGGTCAGAAGCGACACCTGAGGCGATTGAGCGATGTGTCGATTGCGAGTGCGCTGGCCACCGCCTGCAGCAACATTCACTACGTAGAACATGTCAATATCAGGATGGGGAGATTGCTCGAATGCAGATGTGAACTGCTGGCCGTACTGTGGGGCAGCAAGGGACGGGACAAGGCCCGCACCACAGGAGCATGTGCAGCCACTCCAGCTCGACCAGTCACCTGTCCAACTTAGAGTTCAGCTGCCGGTGCAGCGGCGGTCTCAAACGCTTCAGTCCCACTCTCTTCCTGAGGCTTGCGCCCCAGAGGCAATTGACCATGCCGCAGCCAGGCATTGACCTGCAGACATGCCCGAATTGTTTTCGGAGGCATGACGCAGCCATTCATGACCGTGCCAGCCCAGTCGCTGAGGCCCCAGCCCGCCGCCAGTGTGCCGACATGCACGAGTCTCCGAGAGGATGAAATTCTTAGCCGATAAGCGTGAAGGACCGTTGACCCGGGTAGTAGAGCTTAGATCACGATGACGGGATGTACGGGAGCTTTCGATCATGGCACCGGGAGTTCACGGAAGCGGAAGCGTGAGTTTCTCATCCTCAGCACCGAGCACACTTACGTCCTTCTCCTTGCGCTGACCTGCAGCGCGGCAATGGATTGAAGACGGCCGCGATGGCACAGCAAAGAGAGCGCATCTGCCATCTAAAGATGCGCTACATAAGTCGGACAGGAGTAAGAGACACTGCAGTATGGTGCATGTCTTCACATGCCCACTTCTTGGCCTGGCAATCTGTCGGTCTCGCTGCTGCTGGCCTGAAGCTCGAGGTGTGCAACGAGGGCGTGGCTTTGAACTTAATAAGCTGGAATGTGCGAAGGCGGACATGCATGGAAATGCGGGCACTGAGGCGAGCTGCCGGCACCACACTGCACCGAGCAGGCTCCCCACTCTGTCCAGGCAGTTGCCTCGTTGGCATCGACTATGACGATGGCGGGCAAGAGATAAACATCAGAAAGCTCGGCCTCGCAATCCACAGTTCCGCAGGAGTAGCTTCCACACCTCTGAACTGAAAGATCGTCAGAAGCAGGTGAGGATACATGAACAAGTCATGCTGCGATGCAGATGTTTGCGCAAAGTTGGAATGGGGGCTAACGCCTGGAATGAGAAAACTTGCCAAGCAGTAGCTGTTGGCGTATGCTTGGGACATCCAATCAACATATCAAACCTGTGAAACATCTAAACCCTGAACGCCAATACCCTAGAGAGAAGTGTGACTACCCTAGTACCCGATCGAAACTTCGGGTCGCACGGCCGTATCTTCACTTCGCTCAGTTCGGTACGGCCTGGTGTCCCTTCTACAAGTATGCGAAACATAAGTATGTTCCTTTCTATTCCTTCCTTTTCCTGTCCCTGCAGTGTTACGCTTTGGTACTCCAGCCTTCCTCCGTTCGTACCGCTCCTGATTCTTTATCTTCCTCGCTCGTCACTCTGCTTGCTTCCCCAAAGCGACGTCAGGGTAAAGCCGGGTAGCACCGGAAAAGTGACAAGGTCTGACAATGGCGCAGGCACAGAATGGCACAGAGCTACAGAAGGGCGCTGTCAGCCAGGCGCGTGACGCACGGAGCTCTCGCAGCGAGGTCGGGCACGGCAAGCCGCCGTGCATCGGGTAGACTTGCACCTGCATAGCTGCGACCGCCTACTTCGCTGGATCTTGTCTCATCTTGTCGGTCTGAGATTCAGAAGCTGTCCATGCCTGCCGGTGTCGCTGCTGCTCACCACCACCACATGACTTGTCGCAGGAATCCCAGGCGCTCCTGCCATGCAAACATGCAAACAGGTTCAAGATGCTGGAACGGTTGCAGACCGGATTTTCGGTTTGAGGCCGAAAACTGCCCGCTGCGTTTTCGCTGTTTAACTTCTTTCGCGAAAACCATATAGGTTCGGGGGTCGAACTCTGCCTATGCGTTTTTAGCAGTTCAGGTCCGCCTCCTCGACGACATCGCTATCAATTCTTGCGCTTAGGGGCGTTGCTGTAATTAAAACCCTCCCAGCCCCTTTCCTTTGACAAAACTGAAAACCAAAATCAAAAAACACGCAAAAAAACAAAAAACAAAAAAAACAAAACAAAACCAAAAACGCTAAAAACACCAAAAGAAATTATTTCACTGCTCTTCCAGAACGGCCTTAGAAATATACACAAGTGGGAGAGTGTTGAAATAATGTTTTATCAGGTGTTTTTGGCATTTTGGGTTTTAGTTTTTTTCGTTGTTTTTGGTTGTTGTATTTGGTTTGCAAAGACGATCGTATCAATTGCGACGACGCTTTGAGGCGCATTGGCTACCTAATAGACAGTTCCAAAAGAAGCCGATGCGTGTCAGTCGTGTGCTTCATCACAGACCTCGCTCATGCATCACTGAACTCACTCATGCCGTATACAGTTTGTGATCCGTGTCGTTCCGTACTCAAGCCTAGTTCTATTTTCCGGTGACTCACATCTGCATAGCAGTCGCGATTCATGATGAGCTTCCTGTGGCCTCCCCAATACCTATTAAATTATCTTGGTTGGAAAGGACTGTAGTGATAAAGAATGAATCTAAGGTGCAACCTCTAACCAACTGAACTAGTATTTTTCCAACCACTATATTGAGGGATCTCCTTAGTCTTGTACTCTACTAGGCTTAAACATTAGAAACCACTGAGATGTAATGGTGTAAACCTTCACATAGTACCACTGGAACACAACTACCATGAACAACTTAGAGAACTTACACTTGTATTAACTACTACACACAGCTAACCTAAACCATTCATGCCAATATCTGTAATTAGCTGTTCATCTAGTGTTAATAAGTCATTTCAATACTGCACCTGACAATACATATGGTACTAATAGAGTAGCATGTACACAAAAATAAGACATAATGAAAAAGTGCAACGACGCAATAAGAGTCATGAACATCTATACCAATAGCACTAATTACCAAGTATAATACCGGTTGAACCACCTATTGTGAACAGACTATATGAAAGATATAATGTAGCAGATAACATTAGTTGTGAACCAGTATCAGTAGACATTCATTACTTGTCCAAATATGTAGAATACCAACTAAATGATCTTGACGAACAAGTTGGTAATGAAAATATAACCAATGTATTAATCTGTAAAGCTATAGCTCTTGTATCACTGTTCCATACTAACTGTAAACATATGATGTGCCCAAACTAACTTAGCCTAAAAGACAAAGGCAACTCATAGCCTCATAGCTAAGATTCTCCGATTATAGAGTTAAACTATTGATTACCAGATGCTGGAAGGATAGACTCCTGGATTCCCAAAGAACCGTTTCAAATATTGATAGAACATAGCATCACCTCCGAATATGAATCAAATGCTATTGTATTGAAGTGCATATCTGTTAATAGCCTTACTTAGTAAAGCACCACACCTGTTAATATTGGTAGAACTATTAATAAGATAGATGATGTAGTCCTAATGGACCTAGTTATATCGTGGTTCATGTGGCTTAACATCAACATAATCAATGTTGATGACAGAGCTGATATAGCTAGACTATAGACAATAAGACTAAGATTGATACCAGTTGCGAATGAGAGCAGTGAAATCCTATAATGGTGGATATAGACTCCAATCTGTACCGTTATAACTCAGTAAGCAATGTTAGTAATTCTGAGGGCGCTGAAGCCCCAATGTTTTGATCGGCGAAACATCGCCACCGCTGCTTTCACCGAAATCGTGAAGCTTTTCCGGGTTGAGTGCGCGACACAGAAAATGGGAACACATGTGTGCGCCCAAAAAGGATTTTTTTTACTACTTCTCAGTGCACTTAAATATCACACGTATATCAAAACAGTGGGCTTCAATAAACAACCATGTTAAATCAAGCCGATCTGTATCCGCTGCGTTGATGCTGTGAAAACCGTAAAACAGCAAAACGCAGCGGGTAGATTGCGGCTTTAAACCCGATTTTCATAGCAAGCAGCCATAGCGTCTCCCTGAAAGACAACTTACAATCAGTGTTTCAAACCATCAGGAAGCATCATCTGATAAACCTCGAGCGTGTTCCCTGAAGCCAGCCCTCGCTGACGTGTGCCCTCAGTCATGCCAGATGGTTTCAGGCAGGAGCTGCCCCTCATAGACTGAGTCACGAGATTATGCAGAACAACCACGCATTCACACCTTCTCCAGATTCGGCTCATCCGTTTTTAGGATGCGCTCTGACGGCAGCACAAGTTGAAAGCTAATGACGTCTTGAGGCTCGCACCATGCAGAGACCTGGCAGTCCATGCCATGTTGGCTGCACGGCCTGACGTGACACTCGGCGCTGTCTAGAGAACTGTACTCCACAAGACTTTGCTGAGTTTCTGACCGAGTTTCACCCAAAAGTACGGGGCTGCCAGGACCACCACATGGTCTCAGAGAAAATATAATGCAAACAGACAGCATGCTCGAAAAGTGAAAGTTGATGGGGGCAGCTTGGAACACATGCACAATAAAGGATCCCGTATCAACAGCTGTTGTTGAGGTCTGCACCGCCCTCCAGCGGTAGCCTCCCGCTGCACACGACGGCTTCGTGTCCTCAGCTTCCGAAGGTGCTGTCATCGAATCTTACGGACAGAATGACGCATGGTGACACATGCCACTGTTCTGTGCATTGCGGGCCTTTGTCCGCCCCAGCAATCGCCCCAGCTGCTCCATGGAGCCAAAACGCAGTCCCCTTCCTGCAGCGGTTGTTTCTAGGTCTGCTGAGTCTGCTGCTTCTCGTCGCGTGGGGCGCGCGAAACTGTTTCACTCTGGGCAGGAAGCTGCACGTAAAAGTGCAGGTTTGTGATGACAACACCGGACTCTGGCATGCTTGCTAACCTGATGGCGTTCAAGAAGCGCGTGATACAGAACGAGGAATACCACGCAGCTCCTGACATGGGAATTCTGCACAGGTCTGCCCCTCGGACAGGTCTCCTTGGCCTCAGAGCAAACTTCCTCTTAATGTGGCACATTGTTGATTTGCATCTCGGCCACCCTTGAATGGCCAACCCGAGAGCACAGTAAGCCGTGTAACAGAACAGGTACCCCATGACGCATCCATGGGTCGGTGGCTGACTTCATATCTGAGGCACGTGCAAGGTTGTCCTCCGTTTCGTGCAGGCTGTGCTACGGCCCTCGTGCGGAGCTGCCAGCCGCCTATGCAGGCAAGGCTTCAGCGAGTGCAGAGCTTACCCGATGTGTGCACATCGTCCCTTTGAGCGCAGGTTCTGTCAAGGAAGATCTCCGAACATAAATCGCTTGCGAACAAAGCAAGATCAACCGTTAGCGCCGATCTGTGCTTCCGCATGTCGATTAACCATCAAACCTGAGGCCGTCCTCCGCAAGTTTTGCTGCAGCTTACCCAATCAGACCTTGGTCTGCACGTTTTCAAGTACAAAGAAACATCGGACGGTCGCATGCCAAGGTCATAGCCAGGGGATGAGTCGGCAATGCTGAAGGTGGTCCTTGGAGCCGTAAATTCGAGGAGCTCTGAAGCATTCGTGGAAGGCCGAGCCCATCACGTTCTCTTCGCAGAAGGAGTCAACCTCCCGAATGTCGCCTTCGCCTCGGTATCGAGCAGCACGTGTATCGCAGTGTCGGCGGTGGAATGCAGGCTCGTGCACCAGGAATCATGAACAGCTGTTTCCGTTCGCAAACGCGCGTACAGACCGCAGCGAAGGGAAGCGCAGGCTATCGTAGTGACACCGGTGACTCAAAACCATCTTAGGCCTTTGGAGTATTCTGTGCACCTTGCCTTTGCATGCCTTTGTTACCTACCTTTGTGGGCACCCGCTCAACCTTCAGCTGGATGTGCACATGCTAGGCTTACGGGTTGAGTGGAAGGTTGCAGTCATGGGGCTTAGGCTTCTGTTCGGGATGCAGGCAGGTAGGACGGTTGAAGTGAGTTTCACGGCACTGCAAGCAGTCCTCAGGGCGAAGCCATCACAGGCAATGCTTGCGCCGGATCAGGGCCCTCTCTCTTCTTTCGCAAGGGTAGAAGGAAAGGGAGTGTCCCTTTCTCTCTCTCTGTCTCTTTCTCTCTCTGTCTCTCTGTCTCTGTCTCTGTCGCTCGCTCTGTCTCACTCTTGCTTGCTGCATGCCTGAATCTACCTTCGTGGTCTCACTCTTCAGCAAACCAGTCTGCCTTCCTGCTTGGCGGAGTTTGAGGCTCGCACATGGCTTTCCACCATTCCTGGGCATCTGACTCACCTCGCGCGAACGATACCTGCCAAGTAAAGTGACAAGTGCATACCAAACCTCGTAGCACTGCTGAAAACAGGGTCGCCTCAGTGCTCCTGGCCCGGAGCGATCCATCTGGGACCAGTGTGACCAGCTACGAAACTCCTGAGAACTGCAACAGGGCAACCGGCTCTGAACAGCAGATTTCAACTGCAACAAACAACACACCTTGGAGCCAGATCCCCGTACGGGTTTGCGTCTACGTAAGTATTCAGATTGCAGCCTCAGCGGGCTTCAGTACGCAAGAGTGTTGCCAGCGACACATCACGCCCTGCGGCACGAACCGTTCTCATCATATCCTTTGTGCCGTCCCATTGCCGCTCAGGAAAGGTGCTGACAGCTGCTTGCGAGCACCGCATCTCATCAAGGCAATGCTGGCCGAGGTGCGACCGTCAAGCTTGCATCTAAAGTGGTGAACTGAGGGTTGCCCCAGCCCCGAAGCACAACGTGTGACTGCTGGCAGTCGCAAGACCCCAAGGCATCCCAAGCCGAAAACAGGCGATACATGTTGTACCATTGCCAACACAAACCGTTGTGCCCCAAAGCATGTCAACATTTCATCGCTTAGGGCATATGCTCAGCTGCGGGCACAATCCAGAACCTCCGTGCACTCCTCAAGGCACCTGGCGGGGGATGGGGGCGGGGGTGCTTATACCTGCCAGGAAGCCCAGGACTTAGGAATTAGATAACTGGATTTCCTGGCCTCTTGGTGGAAACTAAGGGGCCATGGCAAGGCTCGCCACACCTCGGTCGTGCGCACACCGCGTGCTGCAAGCCCACGCACGACGAGTCAGCTCCTGGACCTAGACCCCACGTGAGGTCCTGCGACTGTCACACTGTGCATGGATTAGGCTCCAGCTCGTTGTTCACGACAGCAATGCTGCGGGACCTGCTCACAAGGACGCCTTTGCCACATCTCCTAGGAAGATCCGCCAACAAACAACAGGACAGGCAAACAGGCGAGCAAGCGCTGGAAAGCTTCAGTGCTGACCCGGTTTTAGAAATTTTGTACTAAGCATTTCTGTCGCTGCAAAGTGCAAGACTCACTCCTTTCTTGTCCGCTCGCATTCACATCAGCCAACAAACTCCTTAACACAACCAAACATCTGCAGGTTCGAGCACTACACGAAAATACGACTAACAAGAACATATGCGGCCTGCCTGGTACAAAGGCCGATGCATGAGGGTTGATGCCTTAGAGCTTGCTTGCGCATGCACATGCTGTCCTATTAACCAGTGGCAGCTGGGTGCGCAGACCATTCGCCCCACGGCGAGAAAGTGCAATCTGTTGGGACGCAGCGATTGTCACAAGGCCTGACAGGCTGTGTTCTGATATCTTGTGGCTACATGCGATCAGAGTCACGGCGGCCGGCCTCGTCGGACAGGCTTCCGTGTCCGTCTGTGTCCCGGCCTCGCTGCCGACCATGACATCATCTTGCAGTATGAACTGCAATGCCGTTGGTGGGATGCAACTGTTGATAAGTCATACAAGCGTGGTTGCAATCGACTTGGGCCCGGGGCACAAAGACCTGCGTATGAATCGTGCGCCACCTGCTGGTGCAGGAGTCCGACGAGTGATCCGTCAGTCCCGAGCATGCCACGTTGCCCGCCCAAACTTTCAGCCCAACTCAATGCCGTGAGACTTGTCTGCTCTTGTCGGACGTGATGCCGTCATTGCGATGTGTCGGACATGTCGCAAGCCTTGAAGAGGTACTCGTTGGGTTTGCTTTGCACAAGGCCTACCGGCAGCGTCAAAGCAAATAAATCTGACAAGACGTTCCGAAAGACTTGCAGAATAAGCGACAGGCAGGTGCACACAGAACAGGAGCGGTGCATGGCTCGGTCTGAGCGCTAGCCGAAGCTGGCCAGCCATGGCAAGAATGTTTGCTTTCCGCTGTTTTCCGCTTCGCCCCTTTCTACGGTCAAGCCTAGAGACCGCTCGCGCAATCTTGTAGCCGGGCCGCAGTCCGCACTGCACCTGCTCGTTCCGAAGACAGAGGCAAAAGGTGCAGAACGGAACCACGAGCGACTGGCCCACTCCATGACGTCCATGGTTTCCACACGCAGAAGCTCATCTCGGCGCGACCAGAAATGGAGGGGGCATGGTGCGATCTAGACTCCTTCATCCTCGAGCTGCTTCTCGAGATAAAGTTATTTATTGTTCATCAACAACAACAACACCAACACCAACACCAACAGCAACAGCACCAGCACCAGCACCAGCACCAACACCAGCGCATACCACCAGCACCAACAACAACGACGATGGCGACAAGGACAAGGTCTGTGCATCTCTCGCCGCCCAGAAAGGTTTGTTGGTCAATCTGCCAAGCTGGATCGAGGTGCGTCTCAAGACGGAAGTGCTGGAAACCCCGACAGGTGTAGTGTTTGCGTCATATGAGGTTGACAAGACTGCGAACGCTCAAGCTGCAAAACGCGGCGGTTGTGGAGCCAAACCACCTTATTTACATTCTGGTGCCTGAGCATGGTTGAGCACTTTTTGCTTGCTTTGTTGGAGAAGATGCACCATGGGAACACTTTGAGCATTTAAGATGCTGGGGGCTTTAGGATAAATGTGCCGCATTGGAACGTCCAAGACGCTCAACTTCGGCAAGCAAAAGACCAGCGTGTAGCGCTCTTCCGGCCGCTTCAAGGACGGGGTTTTGTTTCTGACCCAAAAGTTCGCACCTTCCTGTAGGCGGGAAGTTACGAAGACTTTACACGGCCCACCCAGGCACGCCACATCTTCATGTGGCGCCAAGTACTTTCCAACTCTTGTGTGCCAAATGGCTGACTTTTGAGGTCGGTTTTCGGTTGACGGCCTGCTCACGTACGCTTGCGATAAACTGGGAGCTGTTGGGTTGACCTGAAAAAGCTGCGAGCGGCTTGGGCAGCATCATCGTTCGCATCATTTCGTCATCTCGTCCTCATCATCAGGGCATGACAACGTAAGGTACACCATGACAATGTGGCTAAACGATCAAAAGATATCAAAAGCAACTCCAATACCTGAAGAACCAGAAACGTGCGAGAGAAACACGAGCCACGGTGACAGTTTCCGAAAGCCTCCCCGACCAGGCCACCCACCCTGCCGACCAGCAAAAAAGGCTCGGGACACACACCTTGGGTTTCGGAAAAGCAAAAACTGCTAAAACGTGCTGGCTGTCAAAATCGTACCACGAGGACGACGACTATAAACTACAACTGCTGCCACAATCACAACCACAACAACAGCGACAACAACAACAACAACAACTACTACTGCTGCTGCTGCTGCTGCAGTAACAACAACGACAACAACAACAACAACAACAACAACAACTACAACAACAGCAACAACAACTACTGCTACTGCCAGTACTTCAAGTACGAGTACTTAGTACTAGTACTAGTACTAACTTAGTACTAGGTACTACCACGACTGCTACTACTACTACTACTACTACTACTACTACTACGACTACTACTACTACTACTACGATGACGACTACTACTACGACGACTACTGCTGCTACTACTGCTACTAACTACTAACTATTAACTACTAACTACGAATTACTAACTACTAAATGCTATTTGTCTGTGCGAGCGGGCTCAGCACGTTGCGGGCGGTTGCCGCTACTAACTACTACTACTACTACTACTACTACTACTACTACTACCACTACTACCACGACTACTACCACGACTACTACTACTACTACTACTACTACTACTACTACTACTACTTGCAACGTTCCTGGTAATGCCTCGTACAAGTGGTGGATAGGTCTGAGGACCCGTCGCTGTCACATTGACTGGTGCAGTTGGACACCTGCCGATGCTCCAGGCTTCGTCGCTCTGCGCTTCCGGCGAGACCGTTCACGTCACACGAACGGCTGTCCCGAAAACTGTTGTGGCGGCGATGCGAGCCTTGAAGACCTCTGGCCCTTCTGATAGTCTTACGCAGCCAAGCACTTGTTTGACCCGTGCCTCCTTGGCATCTCGAGCCTCGCACCTGCTCTGGTAGGCTGGGGCATCCAGGATCCATGACAAGTCTACTTATCATGGAAATTGCGGCCTGTTACCGTTGCTGCAGAGTTTCTTATGCAGACGAGAGATCCAAACTGCACCCGTTGCATAGAACGCAGAACATTAACATCCTCCGGCCTCTTGCCGCAGTGGTTGGCGAGTTTCATGATGTCACGCTGTCTGAATCTCCTCCAGTACTGAATCTTGGTGAGGGTCTGCGTAGTTGTGAAATGCTTGACGCGTTCCAAATGAAAGCTTTCAAGAAGCTTTCACTTAGGGCCCCCGGCTGATCACCGCACTTGGAACACGCGCCCCATTCGGACCAATGGCCCCACAGGCAATCCACCTGTCATTAATTGAAGCACCGATTCTCAGCGGGTGAGCACTGTGCTTATATACGTGTGTCGACAGCATGTTTGAGGAACCAAACCTTGGCAAAGCTCTTGGGAATATGAACACTGGCAAATACTGGCAATTTAGTCTGAGGGCGCACGCAACCCTCCCCACATGGATTGGTAGCGCAGGGCGTCCTGGCCATCAACCGAATCAGGCTGTGCAGTCGAATCTCGATCAACAGTGCGGTCTCGACGGTCAACAGGCCAGGCTGTCGTCTCTCTCAAGGCGGCCTCGCAAGGGCGTCCGTTGTTTGAGGCCGGTGTGAAGATGTACCGCAGCCTGTCATGCTGGTCGACAAGCCAGGAACCTTCAATGAAACCAAGTGTTGTGCCTCATCTTGTTGCCACCGCCGCAGGTGACAGGACATTCAGTCCACTCATTCCTGGCATGCGTGAATGATACACCTCGTCTGCTGAAAGCTTTATAGATTTTGTAGACCTGCTCCTCTGATATCCAGTTTCAGGGTGTCTATCGCCGATGCTCAGTAGGAGCGATTCGGCTGGCAGCAACGCTGGAAGGACTGGTGCTGCAATGATGTTGAATGTAGCAGCCCGTCATCATCACCAGCCATGTCGTGCAAACCTGACGTTGGTGACCGAACGAGGAAAGGCACGCCACACAGCCGGCCCCTGCATGCCCTCGTGCAGCACACGACATGTAGGCACATAGGCATGCCCGGAACAAAGAATCTGGTCGGTCGAACCACTGGCTCAACTTGCAGTCCGCATGGTGGTGAACACACCTGCATGAGTTTGCAAGCATTGGAGCATCTCAACCAGCTTTGCCGGTTTGCAGCTGCAGACTTGCTGCGGTCTCGCTGAGACTTCCGGTGTGAAGAGAACCCTGTGCGGGCATGTCTTCTACTGAGAATGGCTCCCAAAGCTGTAAGTTTGCAACACCTTGAGTGGCACCGAGGCTCAAGCTCACTGGGAGCTAGCTCACGGGGGCCTGGATGGCACCTGACACGCGGTTGGGATCGGCACCACCTTTCGCTGATTTTCGCTGGTTGTGCCTCGGAGTGGACATCGCTTAAGTTCCCGGCGGCTGGATTTGCTTCAATGGTGCGAAAGGGATTGGCCTCAAGCGGTCACGGGGCTGCCAAGTTCATCATTTTCCGCGAGGCGAAACTACAGCCCCATGGGGTACTCGACATTCAGTTGAAGGCTGAAGTTGCCTCGAGCAAATGTTCTTTTTGATCGTTGTTCTGCCGAACCTGCGGACCATCGCCATTTTATACATGAAGCCAGCCGGGCATGAAGAGTGCTTGCAAATTCAACATGATTCGCCGGCGTACTGTTAGGAACCCGTGGTGGTTTTGCTGAAATAATATCACTGCTGCCGTTGCGGCTGCCCTGTCAGTGCTGCTTGGCAAGGACATCGATCCGAGCAGCCACGGATTCGCTTCAGAAGTGAAGCATCCCAGACCCAGAACTTTGCAAAGATCAGCTCGATGCCCTGACTGATTTGCTTGCTTTCACATGCTATTTCTCAGCGTTTCTTAAAGCGCTTTTGCTCCGAGACATTCGCTCGAGCAAGTTATGAGGTGTATTGACAAAATGAACTGGGGTTTGGCAGAAGATGGCGGGGCGGATTCCGAGCCGGGGCCTGGCCCCTGGCAGCGTGGCTGAGACGATGCCCTTCGACACCAGCGACATGACGATATTTTCTCAAACGAGGTTTTGACATGGTAACAATACAAGCTCAAGTTTGCGTTCATGCCTCTGCGACAGCATAGGCAGCTACAGTACAAAGATTCTTGCCGTTCTTGAGGAGTGCAGTGGACAAAACTTGTGCAAGTCTGCTGCTGCATGGTGTCTGAAGGATGCGAACCCCAAACTTCAAGCAAGCCACCAATTCACTACACCAGAAGTTCCAGCAAGGGAACAACCACTGTAGGTCTATACTGGATGTACGCAAGAGTATTTTCAAGAGACAGGACATTTGTCAGCTACAAGATCGTTTATCATACGGCACTTTGGGATAAATCGTATGTACACGATGAAAGCTAAACAAAGATACGCTCGATCTTCGTGCAAATTAGAAACATGACCACAACGCCGCTTCAGTTCAGTATTAAGGAGGTGCTCAAATCAGTGTCCGTAAAGTACTCAGGGCACTGCCTTACATCTCGCTCGGTTTTTGCTCTTGGCTTTACATGTGACCACGTGTTTGTAGCTTGCGGGTACCATCACAGGCCAGCAACTAACCTAAAGCAAGGCATTCGATTATACTACAGTATACGCAGGTGTATAATTCACATGTGAACAAGATGGAGGCCAAAATCCTCGTCATCGACGGTATGTTCGGCTTTCATTCTGCGCCACCACACGGGGGATATATAGCTGCTTTGAAGGAAAACATAGCGCACAAGAGCCCGTTCCGTGGCAATCATATTTATCACACCACAACAGTACCCGTTCGACAAAAAGTAATAACAAACTGTGCGCGTACGTGACATGTGACATGGGCTCTCATGGTTTCCAACATGTGACATCGACTTTCGGTTTGTCTGCACCATGACACAGGCGTAGCCTGGCCATTCCAGCTAGTGATAGGAGTGAACGACTATAGCCTTATCGCTGATAGAACCACTATCCTTGTCAGAGGCACCAATTCGTTTAATAATGAAGGCAATGAAGGTGTCAACATCAAGGTAATGGATGCTGACAAACGACATGTGACATGATATCCCTCTCTCCCGAACGCTCTAAAACAGCAGCCTGACAGCCTCGAGTGAAAAAGGATCGGCGTTCTAGGGATGTGAGCTACAACATGCTCTACCTTGTTGTAGTAAGCCAGCAGATATCGTTCCGAACTTCAGTTGCCTTGTGCTTGCTCTGTGCTACGTAAATTGTATACATGATAAAAGGCAACATTCTCAGCAAACGCCCGATGGTTACAATACCGTAGCACATCTGCTCCCATGTGCTATCATACTTTATAAACACAGCACCATTCCAATTATACAATTCGTTCTGTAGTACACATGCTGTATGTTGCTATATCCTCTGGGATTCTTAGTGACATGCCGGTATCGATCCGCGCATATAGGTCAGGTGGCTATTCATGTGTACTGTCAGGTTTATCTCTGCATTGCGCGTTTCGGTTCTATACCTATAGTGACAATGACCACGGATTGTGAAGGCTTTTCAGCCAAGAAGTGACCACACGGCGAAACAAAAGCTGCTAGCCAAGAATGCCAAGAGCACCAATAAAGCCGAAAGCCACAAGCCAAACAGCCAGTGACAAACTGTCAAAAAACCGGTAGCCTGGACATAGGAATGCCTTGTTCTCAGCAAGACTACTATCAGCAGTGATGGAAGGCTCTGATACCAACCAACAGGAGGGAGTGAATCTAGAAAAAAATCAGCAGCTGGCTTTCCGTTCCCGAAGTGGTATTGCTCCACAATCCTGCCAAATTTTGCAGCTCTCAACGGCGGCAGTCTACTGTCAGTCGAACCCCACTCAGGCCGCCATGCACAATGCATACACAACCAAAGCAGCCACCTCTGTCGCTCACGAATGCCGAAGCCTCAATGTCAGTGTTGATAGCATATGCGCTGCTTGTCTGACTCCGGGCCAGGAACAGTTCCCATCCGGTGATTCCCAATATGGACTGAACTGTTCGACACACTCAGCTGGCGGCAAGTGCAGCTGCAGTCGGACCATTCATTCCTGGTACGATCGTTCGTGTTGTACTTCGGGGGGAAACTGGAACTGTGATCTCAGGTGCAGCTTTCAATCTCGGAGGCAAAGCAGGACAAGGAGAGCACGATCATCTGCGATGGCCGGGAATCGCTAGCCGCTAGCCCTCAAAGCAGCGCAAAGCGGCCAGGCAGAGAGCCGGCCATCCCGGTCCCCGCACACCGCACTGCCAACACCAGAACCTGCAGAGGTACATCAGAGACGAGAAGGCATGCACTGAGCCACAGCCATGCCTTCGCAGACGTCCCACTCCTGGCCACGGCCTGAACAAGCCAGTGAGGTCGAGAATCACAGGAAGGGTGCAGCCAGTCTGCAGGCACGTTAAATGCAGGCAGAGCTGCTGCCAGAAACAAAAGCAGGCTCAGAGCCATATATCAGTAACATCTAACAAAGAGCCCTTGCAACCAAACACCAGAGACAGGCATGAGCTGCCCCGAACTTGTCAGTGTCTTTGCAAAGGTCGGGGCCTGTAGCTGGCCTGCCACAGGAATTTGCCTGCCTCAGTCACTTGAGAGGAGCTCGGGCTGTCTTGACAACTATCACACGTGCATAGCAACAAATGGCTCAAGAGGCTCAGGAGCAACTGCTACCACGCTTCTCTAACAGTCCTGAAAATCTGTGACAGCTTGAGAAATTGATTTTGAAGTAACAGCCTGGCATGGGCTTAGAGTAATTCTGTCACCCAAGTGGCACTTGATGGCTTCGATGTCGAAACCTGAGTCAGGCAGGCCCTGCGACCGAATTACAGTCGATGGAAGTCCCCAACAACAAGCCACGAGGTACGAAGGCGGCGAAGGGCAGAAACTCACGGTAGGCCAGGTAAGTGCTCGGCTTGAAGCCGTAGCCACAGGAAGCCGAGCATTCGGACCACTGCTTCCATTCTGGCAGATTGGGGTCCGTGTAAGTCTATCGCCAAGCAGCAGTTTCAAATCTAATGTGTCTTCAGGCTCTGAAATTGGACTCAGTAAGACGCAACACATGCCTCCCACCTGTACTATCCCTATTGCAGACCCTACAATTTAAAGCAAACCTTTCGCCTTACCCCCAAGACTTCAGTCTTAGTTGTTCTTGGCCTCCGAATCCACATCCCCAGATCTCACCTTTTCAAGGTCACAGAGTCTTTCAGGTGCGTGTGTTGGGGTTGGGGTCGTTTGCCGACAGCATTGGATAGAGACATATAGAGACCGAGACGTTGAATCTGCGAGCTTCCGGCATTGGGGACATCAGAAAAAACCCTGTGCCCAGGACACCATGCACACCGTGTAAGGCCTGACCACCGGGCATCGGTGCAGTGCTCGAAGCATCTGTGCTGATTACATGGAGCTGCTTCGGACCTGCACAACAGGATCGGAGATCGATCGAACGAGAGGGTGCTATGCAATGAGAAGCTGCTGAGCCGTCACTCTGTAGGCCCCCTGGCTTGTCCACTGGATCACAGAGTTCTCCTCCACCTTTTGGGGAAACCTGCAAAAGCAGTCGATGTGCACATGACTTGGGATGCCATGGATGCCATGCGGCCTGAACCTGTCGATTCCTGCGCTTTGTCCCACCTGCAGCAATCTCGTACCCGGCACGCTGGGGGCAGACTTCAAACAAACAGCTTTTTGGGACTTGGTGGATTTTCCCCGGTGAGCTGAAACTGATTCTGAAACTATGTCAGAATGCAGCACCATGGGAATGCAATGCAATGCCTCCACAGCTGCAGGAGCAGCCACTCCACGAATCCCACGGTCCCCACCTTGGAGAGCCCAGGCCTAGCCCAAAAAGGCTCTTAGTATATCTTAGTATGCCACAGAGACATGAAGCATAACGTAATATTTACTACAAACAAGGCACGGGGAGTGTAAGATAATGTTGACTGAAGTAGACACGTCGGAAGTCTGGCATGCCATGGCAAGCCATTTATGCTACTTAGGTCTCCGAGGCTGCAGCTGGCAGTCTTGTTCGCCGCAGCCGGGTCCCCTTGTCGCGAGTTTTGAATGCAGGGCAATGCAGGTTTGTGCAGGCTGTGCGCATCTGAGAAGAGGCTCTGCTTTCTTAAGCCGGTGACTCCGACGTACACATGAGAACAAGGCCCAGGCGTGCAGGATACCACTTGCATCATAACGCCGCTGCACCCACGACCTTGCGTGGACTTGCTTAGCCTAGTGAAGAAACAGGCACTGAAACAAAAGACTCTGAACGCCGATGCATGAGCTTTAAAGGGCTTCGTCATGCTGGCATCGCACCTCCCTCGCCGGCACGTTGCAGCACCTCACGGGTTGCTAGGCACAAGTCTGCTGACGAAACCCGCCCTGCACGCACATCGGATTGACTTCCTGCTCCCAACATGACTTGCCAACCTCGCGCTCACGCTTCCGAACGCCATCTTCACACTGTGCCGTGCAGGCACTCCTGGCATGGGCAGAGCATAGCAGAGTAGCGGAGCCCGTGTCTTAGGCTGCTCTCACGTCGCAATTCGGGTATGCTGATAATTCTTGCAGTCGCTTGTGGCACAGCCCTGCTGCATGTAAGATCACGCCAGCTGCACCACGAGCGCCACCTCAGTGCAAGCCCACGAACACATCTCATAGCAACCGCGAACACCCAATACTGCGCCGGTCCGAAAGTTCGTCGCACTCTATGTTGTCGACTTACAACATGCGTGTTCAAGACACCTTTTCCCCGCCGGGAACAATTAGAGTACCATAATTTCATTCCCGGGTGAGAATTCCTCCGCTAGCCAGGCTAGGGTATTCCTCACAGCCCGGACCCCGCGTACTCCGTTCAGTATCGTTCAGTGTTGCCAACGGATGCGACGAAACTTTAGTACCGGGCATGCCTCTGTTCAGCAAACCTCGCCAAACTTGTTGCTGTGTGACCTAATGACCTCGTTCAGGTCCCCCAGACAAACATCTCCGTCTAAGAAACGATTCAGAAGGCAGCCTCCATTTTCGAGGCAAGAGTCCCCTCCTTTGCAGTCCTGATGAGAGCTAAGCCCCGAACACTTTCGCCCTAGAGCTGCTTGGGCTGGACTCTGGCACCCAAAATTGATGCTGCGCCGGTCCGAAAGTTCGTCGCACTCTATGTTGTCGACTTACAACATGCGTGTTTAAGACTCCTTTTCCCCGTATATCCCTCCAGAAGTCCTCCGCCGGGAACAATTATGGTACTATAATTTCATTCCCGGGTGCTGATTCCTCCGCTAGCCAGGCTAGGGTATTCCTCACAGCCCGGACTCCGCGTACTCCGCTCAGTGTTGCTAACGGATGCGACGAAACTTTAGTACCGGGCATGTATTATGCATGATTGATGCAGCATGCTCAGCCAATTTCTTCCACCTGCATCGGCTCCGAAAATAACGGCACTTGTGTGTGCACTGCGTGACGGAACTGTACACCGATGCGTTGGCCAGATGACCTCTCTTTATGGCAACCAGACTTCTTCGTGTGGGGGGAACCCAGGTGAACTGGCCGAGATCCCCCCCGGTTTCAAGGGATTGGCGGTTTCATGGTCACAGAGCACAGAACTTGATTTCGGGTATCGAAAGACTTCAAGGGAGCCGCCGCGCAATCGCAAGGTTGCAAAGAGTTCACAAGTCGTCTGAGTCTAGCGCTTCAACGTTCGCTCGCCGAGTGTCAGCGGCGGAAGTAGTAATGTGTTGGGTGCGCGTCTGCGAAATCGCCCGCTGAGCTGCACAGAGGAGCTCCAAACGGGTGGACTCCGAGACAAGGCGCTCACAAGCCACGCAGGTCGTTGACATATAATTATAAGCTGGACGCATGTACTGCGCTGAGGTGGGAACGGCGAGAGGATGCAGTCATTCTGATTGGAGTGGCACGACTGCCTTTCAGCGGAATGCAACTTTGAGATTCTGGTGTTTGGCAACACTTGCCTACATTAAACATGCTGCTGATGAACGCACTCGCCACTAAGCGCGTGGCGTGTTGCAACCCCGGATCTGCTTCATCTTCGACTGTGGGCACGTGCCTCGAAGGAAAGCAGGACAAAGAGGCAAGGCAAAGCCACATGGATATCCGAACCTCCGCTGTGAGCAGGATGAATCCTCAGCTGATGCCACGCAAACTGCTGCCAATGGCTTCAAGAATGCACTGAATGGGAGCAAAGAGTAGTCGCAACGACCGAACGTGACTCGAATTACCGGCCAAACTGTCATTGCGATGATGAGCAAGGCGCAAACATCACGGTTGCGGTGCTATAACGAACGAAGGCACTCCCGCCTCTTAGCCGCAAGGCAGAGCGGTGGCAATCGGGCTTTGTGTCTTGCTGACGGTTGACGGGCATGGTCATAAGCAGCTTGGAGGGAGGGATTGCCTTCGAGAGCAGGGCTGCGCGAAACTTTCAGACATGTAGCTGAAACCCAGTGTTGACAGCTAAAGCTATGTAGCCGTAATCCCAGAGTTTAGGAACCACGAAACGAGCACCTCTTGCCATGCACCTGAGCACCACGCAACTTCCGATGTCGAACCTGCTGACCTCCATCACAATGCTTGTCCTCAGGGAGAAGCTTGCTGTCTTGGAGCCCTCGGTAAAACCAGAAGTTTAGCAAGCTCATGGGTGACTGAGCTTCTAAGGTGAGCCGGACCCCAAACCCTGTTGAGTGCTTCAAGGCTGCTTCCCACTTCGTCCCGACTTGATACTGCAGCCGCTGCAGCCTGTGCTTCGCTGAGGCGAGAACGCATGATGACCATTGATCCCACTGTGATATGACCTCCGGCTCTGGGCAAGAGGGCTTTGGGATAGACAGCTTTATCTGTCTTGCCATCGATAAGGTATGCTAGCGCGAAACTAGGAAAGTCCGTAAACGGATCGGGTAGACAAACTGTCGCCGCAGTGAAAGAAAGCGCCGAAGGCCTCTACCTGAAACTGGGAAGGCAGAAAGAGACCTTCAATCAAGCCAAAACGTCACAGAAATCAGCAACAAGCAACCCACAAGCTGAACCCCACACCGCCAGCGGAACATTGGAAGATGAGTAACCGGTTGGCGGAATCTCTACCCTTTGTATGGTTTCTGTTATGCTGCCGGGCCCGGTGATTCCGTCACAAGTTCGCTGTTCCTCGAGCCCGGCTTCCTTTACATCAGTTCTCACTGCGACATGATCTGACAAAACTTGTTCGTCCGGCACGGCCTCACATGGATGTAAAGAACTGCCACAAGCTGATTTGAACCACATCTGAATCTGAGCTCCACTGCCACATCAGATCTGTCTGCACCTATTGTTCTGCTGTGCACGTTCTGGTCAAGCAGTGCCTTTATCAAGAACAACCGCAGGCGGAACCACTCCACCGGTTCTTTGATGTCCAAGAGGCACATGCCAAACCGAACTACACCGTAGAAGTGATCCTTGAAGGCAAAGAGAGATGGGTGGCGCAAGAAGCGCAAAAACCATCCTCTACAACCTTCCGACAGAGAAGACCACGGGTGGGAGGGTTGGGAAGAAAGACAAAACTAGACCTGATGAGATCGGCCTTGACAAGAGAAATCGAGGAATGGAAACATGTGAGCACGATGTCCATCGAAAAGTTTTGTATCAACACACAGCCTGGGTTAGCAGGAAAAAACCTTCGAATCGCAACAGTGCGCCACTCTCCAAAGAGCTATGCCACTTTGCAGTTGACCAACCTGTGAAAGAACGAGTTGGCTGCCGAAAGCTTTCAGGCTCCGGGCACAGTCAGAAGGACCGTGGCTTGTGCAACCCTCCATCCTGGCGGCAGCCGGTCGGACTGTATCAGTGGGGTGGAACGACACAACAGCGCAGCCGCCTTTGCAAGGCTTACTTCATTCAGCGCCATCAGCAATGGTATCTGAACATGAGGCTTTCAGGCTGTGACTCGTGAGTCGTCCCACTGCAGCCGGCACCGTTGGAACCTGGTTGCTCAACCTGTGACAGTGTCAACACCAGGCAAGACTGTAAGCTTCGTCTGCACAGGCACGGCTAATGAAGTTGCTGCGGCAATTTCCGATGGAGCATTGTGCTGGGACATACGACACCAAAACTCACCAAAAGTGTCAGCAAGCTTCTCCACGCTCCTGCTCAAACTCAGCAAGCAGGCCCTACAATTTAGCAAACATGCGCAAACCAACCCGGAATGCCACCATTTCGAATGTGGGCTTCTCAACATAAGTTTGTGGAAGTCGTATCAGTTTGGTGATGGAGGTTTTGCGGCACGGCACCGAAAAGCTCTCAACACTTGATATTGCTTTTTGATGTCGTCTCGATGATTGGTGCTTACTTCATTAGGCAGAGCTGCCCGTCGGTGGCGATCTCGTTGAAAAGGGCGGTATCCATCACATCCGGCCTCAATCCAGAACCACTGGTCAGTCTAAGCTGCCGAAGAAATCGCGCGGCAGCTTGCTCAGGTCGATGCCCAGCTGGACCATGGGCTGAACTGACAAGCCCTCAGATGCGCATGTTGCTAGCTGCGAGCTGACAAAAACATCGGCTACGAACACAGGTGGCTTGTCCTAACAGCATCAACTAACACCTGTCGACACCGCCGAAAACATTGAGCAAGCTGCAGACCATTGCATGGTTGTTCGTTGCCTAGGTCAGGAGACAGCGTTGAAGCAGTGTCGGATTCAAAGCCTCTCGGTACAGAGCCAACAAGGAGTGCTCGGCTGCTCACATGGGTGTTCCTCGCGAGTGGAGCCAACGCAAGGCTTCCTGGCATCGCTCTGCTTGCATCACTTGCTTGAGCAGCTTTCCACCCAACTGCGATCCGCCCTGTCATGGGTGTCACGGGTCGTTCTGGCAGCACGATTGTCTTCCGGTCTGCGGTTCGAGCCCCAGTACAAACTAACGTGGAACGACGTCGACTACAGAGCCACAGGCCGGGTAATTATATGACCCACACCAAAGCTAGCTCCAGTTCAGCAAAAGCGGCCCTCCATTGGCAGAGAAGCGAATGATGCGGCGATCTCTGGTATGCCTCAGACTCCGAGTCTCGCCGATGCTCATCTATCGCAAGAAAACCAAGCCCGTTGCCATCCCTGACCGCAGGTGCAACTGCAGGTCGTCCAGGCCTTGGCTGCTTTAGAAGCTTTAGCTCATCTCTGCTCACACTGTTACGAGTATATGAGTCACCCTTGGAGAACCGACATTCCACTGGTTCATCTCGCAGTCGACGACGTGGCCCTCCGATCAAACATGTCAATGTGCAGGCATGAAGCAGGCACACGTGTCCCAGCTCGCAATGTCGAATTGCTTTCCGGCACAGCCCGCAAACAGACTTCCAAAAACTCCGGCAAACGTTTGTCATGTTCACAAATGGAAGGGAGGCAAGCTCGAGAGACACAAGAAGAGTGTTGCTGAAACATGCTTGTCAAGCCGTTAGGTGCGCGAGCCCACATCGAGTGACATGCACACCGCTCCGAAGATCTCTCAAGCTGAGCCTGGCCACACGGCTGGACCTGCCGCAAGAGTGCCAACGTCCGGTAAAACCGCATGCAGTCTGCTCAAGAGAAAAAGCGCGCATTCCTGGAAGTCACCCATCTCCCAGAGCAAAAACCCATCCCCTCGTCGCTGGACTTTATATCGGCTTTGCTCCGTCGGACCTCGCGCAGTGGCCCTTCCACAGAGCGCCTGCGAACATGAGTACAACTTCACTCGGGAAATGCGATGCGGACGGCAATTCAATGCGTGCGTGGATGCTTGGGTGCGTGTGTGCGCGGGTGCGCCAGCGTCCGCGCGTGCGCCAGCGTCCGCGCATGTCCGCGCGTGCGCGAGCGTCCGCGCGTGCGGGTGTGGATGTGGGAGTGGGTGCGGGTGCGAGTGTGGGTGTATGTGTATGTGTATGTACGTATGAATGTACGTACATGCTCACACTTGCATCTCTTGTTATCAGCTGTTATAGCTAACTTACCCACCTAGATCGCGCACCTAAGTACAAACATGTATGTGCACATGTGCACATCTTAATGACTGCACAACACGAGAGCGCGTTAAGAATTGCACATGCATGCGTCAGTGCGTTCCCACATCATCACACCAATCGAGCCCGTGGTTACGTGCACGTGCATGCATGCGAAATGGCCCATGGACAAACAAATGGAGAGATGCACATTCAGACAGGCAAGTTGGCATAGAGGCCTGAAGTGTTACATGCAGCGAGGAACACCGGATGCCCTACACTTCATTGTAGCGAGTGAGAAACGTCAAGCACATGATACTTGCAAGGCCGTGGTCGCACCCTCCATGAGCCGCTTGCGTCGCCACTTCACGGTGACGGTCCCTTCCAATTCGACCAAACTCGCCATGTAGTAAAGACTCGTTGTTCTGTTACAGTTGTCCCCAGGCAAGCATGCAAAACTGTTAAGCTGAAGCTTCGCTGAAGCGAGAGTTTCCGTAGCGCTATATGCCATGGGCTAAACAGGCAGGACAGCAGTTCAGAGCACACATTCAAGTTCCTCAGCCTCAAGATCTTGAGAGACTTCGCAGCAGGGAGGCCCGCACTAAACTCTCAGGCTGCAGCCTCTGGCCGGAATCGCACAAGCCCCACCTCGGCAGTTCTCCGAACTCCAACTGCGATGAGCAACTCAAGAAGGACAGTATCTCAACTCTGCAAGCACTGAGATCCTGCAGACTGGATGGCTTTGCCCCATGGAAGTCCAGTTCTCTCGAGGCAGAGTGCATTGCCCAAAACGTCATACAGAACATTTCTGGCTTCTCAATTTGGTGTTAACGATGTGAACCAATGCCTAACCCAACGAGTCGGCCAAAGCTTGCCAATCTCGCCTGTAGGCCTGGCTGTGACCGATGCCAACCGACAAGCTTCGATTGAGTTGTGCTTCTCAGCAGAATGCTTTTCGAACAAGCTCTGGAATGCAGACTCCAGACAAGGAAGGGATGCATGAAACGTCGTCACACTCACAGCAGTAGTCACACCTGCTTGGGGTGTCACTTTCATCTAATCTTGACCTTCAGGCCAGAGGAAACATGCTGACCACCACACCATTCGGAGAGCGTGTTGTTCCCGGCCGATGGTATGTGGATGTACTACAAGTGACACGCCATCCAAGACTTCTAAATCCGAGTCGGTCCTACACACCAAAACCACCGGCTGTGCACACCACCAAGCCATCACAATCAGGGCTACTGCTACTTCTCGTCGTCGTCGTGGTAGTAGCAGCGCAGCAGCAGTGGCAGCAATAGCAATAGGAGTAGCAGTAGCAGTAGCAGCGGCAGCAGCAGCATGAGTAGTAGTAGTAGTAGTAGTAGTAGTAGTAGTAGTAGTAGTAGTAGTAGTAGTAGTAGTAGTAGTAATAGTAGTAGTAGTGGTGGTGGTAGTCGTAGTGGTAGTGGTACTGCCTTAACTTCCTTCATGTTGCGGCTTCGTCCCTCCTTACCTTAGTGCCTTCGAGTTCCATTCGTCTCCTGGCGCTTCGCTGAGCTTCGAGGCCGAGCTTCGACGCCGAGGTCGCGGCTCGGACCAGGAGCCGAACATCGCGTCCTCCTCGGGCTTCCGTCCACCTCGCGCGACGGTCGAAGGTGCACAGTGCATACAATGCCCGAAAGCCGACGCATGTACCGATTCTGCTTTTCTGACGTGAAGTCTGAAGTTCTAGCTGTTCCAGCTCAAAAAAAATGCCAGCAGACGCCGGCAAAAGCCTGAAGCTGGATCCCAGAGAAACAAAGTGTGTTCACAGTCGTCCGTTTCTGCGGCCCCTGCACTCTGTTTTGAAGCACGGCTTGGTGTCTTCCTGCAACTGTTATTGTGCAGTGCGACTCAGCAACTCACAACTTCAACGATCTTCAACGACGTCCTGAACCCCGCTGCAAGGTCGTCCACACTCGTTGTTCGGCTGGGCAAGTGCCCTGAGAGCAAAACTGAAAGGAACAAGACAACACGAGCTTGAGACCTAGGCAGCTGGCCTATGACGAAAGCACAAGCCGGTGCATCCTGCAAGTGCGCTAGTGACTAGTGACCAGGTTGCAGGTTCAACTTCAGAAGCAAAGTGGGCTCAAAGCACCAAGTACACGGATCAGCTGTCCTCCGGCATCGTACCATTTGCCCCACTGGGCGAACCTCAGTAGTTGTGCAGCAAGGCTCGAGGCTCGCTCGGCTCGTGCACTACATCGCTGCACTATAATCACATCTCCGCGACTCATTCAACTTGGGTCCGGGCTCGCAGTTTTGAGGAACGCAATGATTGCATGTTGGCATGTCTCTGCATTCTTGCCTGAAGTGCCAAGGGAACGACCGCAGTTCTGACTGGCCAGGTAGCTACTCGGAAGCAAACGGAAGAACCGCTCGCAACAAATGGAGAGAGGGAAATCGTAGAAGCCACGCCGCTAGCAGGTACGATTAAATCGAGCGGGAAGGAATAAGGTGGAACCAAACATGCTTCAAGTGCACTGCATCCACTACCCCTTCTGGAAGGCTTGCCACTCCACTTCCGTACCCGAGCACGATCGGGAGCCCGCCACGAGAAAGGCCTTCTCCTGTGGCTGTTAAAGACAAGATGCAGCCTTGACAGCAGACCATGATACCGAACGCAGCCCCAACTGGAAAATGCTTCCAAAGGCAGGCATGACGCACATCAACGCCATGCCGGGCGCCATACAGCCCCCTACGGCTCTACAAGTACTTGCGCTTACGCAGCATAGTGTCTCATAGCCTGACTGTGCTGAACTCATGACACAAGGGCAAAAACTGCCAACATCTGCCAACACAGGCTGCAGGTAGCTTTTCTCCGCTGCACAGCATCAGAGCCGGCGCACAGGGCATTTCAGAGCGTGTTGGAGCATCATCTAGGCGTCGCAGCAACTTTCAGCATCGTTCATGTCGATCGAGATACTGGTGCCCTTGGGTTGGATGTCCTGCAGGCGGCGCTGCTTTGCAAGCCCCGGAGAGTTGACAAAGTGCCCCAGGCTGGAAAGGGTACAGGGCACGCGCTTGAAACTGTCGACCGAATCAGCCAGGGCAGTCAGGGCAACAGATAGCACATAGCAGCAGCGGCGGCGGCGGTCCAATGGTCCAGAATCAGCAGCAAGTCAACATGCCACGGTTCCGTATTTCACCTGCACTACTGCACGGTGCAGTTCAAAGTGCGTTGTTGTACTGTGATAAGAAATTCTGTCAATTAAGAAAGTGAACTTTGACGTTGGAATACAGTTTTAAACTCGCAGATTGAATTGAATAGCATAGTATTTTTAACCGCTGCAAGGAATCTCTTAACCACGACAAGACTTGTGCATCAGCACATGATGGAGCAAAGGGGGGTGGAGAGAGACATTATGAACGATACGGCGAAACCAATCACAAACAAGGCCTGGGACCTTGCTGCCTAACTCTACTGAAGCTTGGGATCACTCACAGGAAGACCTTTTCTCACGAGTTTGGAGTCGTGCCTGTCATCCTTCTGTATCGATCGCGTGAGAATGCTCGCCAAATACATACATGCATGCCGCTTTATCAATCCCATGAGTGCCTTGCTGTGCTTCGTGTGGAGGGGCACACGGCCCGCTTGGGCATCACAAAATGGCCTCTGTTTTAGAGCCTCCGAAGCCCGGAAACCACAAAGGCAGGGCCATTTTGTCACTCCCATGTCCCATGGGGGTCTTGAAGGGGTACAGGGCCCGCGCGGGCGTGACAGTGTTTTTTGTTCAGTGACAGCAAGGCTGGGCTGAGAAACTCAATCCCAAAAGTTCTTGATCTCCAGTTACAAGAGCGGCTTCTTAACCTTTGCACTGCTTTGTCCGGCGCCCCATTAACCCTGGACCCTAATTCGCCCTAAACACTTTTGTTCTTCACGTAAACCCTAAAAAATCCCTGGGCCCTCAACCCGATCTTCACCTGCAAAATAGTTTACCAACCAAAATCGCAAAAATCGCACAGCATGCTGGGAACGTTTTGCTGTGCTCTGCGGAGGCCTCCCCCTCCCAAACCCACTAATTCAGAAAGTCTCTTCGCGAGACTCGACCAAACCAAAATTTCATTATTTAGAAAATCCACGATTAAGACATTTCGTGACGCTCGCCTCTGAGAGACGATTTCTTATGAAAAGCCTTCCCCGTGCTCCAGAACGTCAACCTCTCCCGTCCTTGAAAAGGTTCCCCATCAGATCATCACTCCGCAGACTTCCACAAACCACTGCTTGAAGAGGGGCCTTCCATGAGTCTGAAACAGGTTGGAAACCCTGTAGGTGCCCACGCCAAGCACACTGGCCATGGCAAGCCTATGAGCTTCGGAGATGGCAAGGTCCTCGAAAAGCAACGGATCCAAGACCTTTTGCTTGGTAGCTTTGTCCTCGGCAGTCTGCTGTACAGCAACGAGGACCGCATCAATGGAGTTAGCCATTACACACCGCGAGCAGATGGAAATGCATGCAACTGCATACAACACCCCATCAGAAGCTGGAGCGGGCAGCACTTTCGCGGCCACTAGGGCCCATGCACGGCGAAACTTGCATCCATTGCTGGAAGGATTGGAAGAATCCGGGCTTCGCATTCAGGACCCGGAGACAGGGCTAAGCATGCGAGAGCTGCTCTTTTCCTTCCTGGGTCCCAGACTTGAGCCTTGTGTTTCTAGGGTTCTGCTGAGCACAGTTGGCTCAGCTGCAAGCGGCTTTTCGACGTCGTCAGGGTTGTGGATATCTGAGAGACAAGCTTAGTTTTGAGCCCTTCGTGAGGTGGAGCTACAAACAGCTTGTGCCAAGCAGAAACACATGTTACACAACTGAATAAGCAGCATGCCGGAATGTACACCTGCCCCATTAACAATCACATGACTGAGCACATCCGAGAATCCACGGAAGTGTAGGTCTGTGCGATCTGTGCAACAGTGTCATAGCCTTGGATCTTTGCAGCACGAACAGATAAGTGGCGCTCGTGAAGTAAACACGTTGGAGGGAAGTCATTCTTCCCAGAGACTGATTCCGTTACACATAATCCATCTCTTGCAGATGAGAAGCTTTCCTGCACAGTTGGCAAGTAGCACAGCAATTCGCCAGAAGCGTCAATCCACACCTTCCGTCCCATCACAGGCTAATGTTTTCGGACTTCTGGTGATTTCATGCTCGTCACGCGACAGCCCCCGCCGAAACCTCTGGAATTTTGCCGCAGATAACGCTCAACCTAACTGCAATCACCGAAGCTGTGAACATAATCAGTTGCAAGCTGCGAGCCAGTCTTCAAACAGCATCTCTCGAAGATCTGAAGGTCGTTCCCACAATCTCTCCTGTTGCTTCACACTATGTACTGGATCAGGAGCAAAGAAATAAAGAAATCCAATCTATCGAGCATCACTGCATCAACCGAACATACATACCTGGACACACCTCGCACCGGCGGGCTGCGAAGTTTCCAGAGACCAATTGAAATGGTGTTGTTTGGCTCTCTGACCCATTGGTTTAGTTAGTGCCCCAGTCTGCCCTTTACAAGCCGCTTGAATATCATACAGCAAGAAAACTGCATGCTGACAAGATTACTGGAGAAATTGTCGTGCATGAACCAGAAGCCATTCCGATGGCAGCTCCACTAAACATACCTCAAGCACTCGCACTACTTGTACAGCCGTCTTGCACACACGGGAGCACATCGTAGCTGCCTGGACATGACATGTTCTCAACAGAATGCACAGCACCAAGCATTGCTTGGCAACTTCCACTCGTAGCGGTACAGCCCCAGCACATGAACGCAGAACGACACGAGGCTCCTTCGGAAGGTCGATCTGCGAGGCAGGAAGGATGGGCTCGGAGGGCGGCCGAAGAAAGCCTCCACACGCTATACTTTCGTACAAAACGGATGCCGCAACGAAGCAGGTTCCACCTGCACCGGCTTCGGCTGGCACTGGCAAAACCTCAGACAGGTCTGCGGATGGGAAGGTCATCGTAGGGGCAAAACGGGCTCAAATTTCGATTACGCCTCTAAGCCTCTAAACCCCTAAAGGTTGCTTACGCTGTGGGCGCCCCTATAAGCTTCTGAGCCTCTATTATTCGGCCTGGTCGCTGGTATGCCTCTGCAAGCTTCTATGCCTCTATAAGCCTCTAATCTTAGGCGCTGAGACGCTGAGAGGCTTGAACGCTTGTAGGCGCTGGTTTGGCGTAACCTCTCGTTTTACGTGCTGAGGCGCTTAGGCGATGAATTGGAGGCGTCGGATCAATCCGGCCACTCAGATCCCGGGCCCTTGGCTTGAGCCGCTTAAGCGCTTAGACGCTTTTAAGCGCTGAGGCGTCTTTTGGCGCTGACGCGCTTGTCGGCTCTGAATTAGAGGCGCCGGATCAAAGCGGCCAATCGGACCCCAGGCCATTGGTTGTTTCGTTTAGGCACTTAGACGCTTTTAAGTTCTGGAGCGCTTTTAGGCGCTGAGGCGCTTGTAGGCGCTTAAGTAGAGGCGGCGGATGAATAAGCCACCCTGAAAACAACCCTGAAACGGAACCACCCCCACACGCAAACCGCAACCCTATGAACCGGCAGCGCGGGGGGCGGGTTGGGAGGGAGGGTTTGAGCCAACACAAACACCCCTATATACAGAAGCATGCGGAGGTGCACGTGTTCCAGTGTTCGATTCAGGTCTCAGAAATAGTTTTATTTCGAACATCCCCACCCTACAGATACTGCATTTGCGAAGCCTATACAAGGTACTGTATAGTAAACTGTAAACTACATATGGTTTTGAGTGTGTGATACAAATCCCAGGGACTCCAAAGAGCTGGTTTTTACAAGATGATGTGAAAACCCAAGGAGTGGATGTCATCAAGGTTTTGGGGGTGGGGGCCCCAGTGGATGGGAAACAACCTAACTTAGCACTGCCTTAAAACCTAAGCCCAGCTTGCCCTGATTAGGGGACCTAAAGCATACGAAATAAAACTAAACGCTGGGCCCTAAACCTTACGTGCCCGCCCACCCCTGTCTTGGGGAGCAAGGCACCCTAAACCCTAAGCCCGGTTTCCCCTAAAATATGGGGACCTAGGCACATGCATCTGTCCCAAGCCACCCTGAAAACAACCCTGAGACGGAACCACCCCCACACGCAAAACGCAACCCTATGAACCGGCAGCGCGGGGGGCGGGTTGGGAGGGAGGGTTTGAGCCAACACAAACACCCCCATATACAGAAGCATGGGGAGGTGCACGTGTTCCAGTGTTCGATTCAGGACATTCGACGATCCATGGGGTGACACCACTGACAGTAGTGTTGGGCACTCCCGGTGGTCTCACGGTAGTCTGTGGTGTTAGGCATGAGCGCTTCTAGCTTCTAGGCGCTTGAGCACTTTCATGCGCTGCGGCACTTGTAAACGCTTAGGCGCTTCTATGCACTTAGAAGCCTCTAGGCGCTGGGCGGCTTTCAGGCACTGAGGCGTTTCTATGCGCTTGAAAGTGCTTATATTTAGGCGCTTGATTGTTCCCGGGCCTGGCGCTTGCGCGCTTTTGCGCCTGCAAGCGCTTGAGCGCTTACAGGCGCTTACAGGCGCTTATAGGCGCTTATAGGCGCTTAAAAGCACCGAAGCCTCCAAGCCTGGAGAAGTCTTCAAGCCGTACGCCTCCACAGGCCTCTAGAAGCCTCTAAGCCTTTATTATCCGGTATATCACGCCTGGTCTCTAATCCGCCTCTGTAAGCCTCTAAGCCTCTATTATTCCGCTTGGTCGCTATAGTATGCCTCTGCAAGCCTCTAAGCCTCTAATCTTAGGCGCTGAGGAGCTTTTAGGCGCTGGCAGACTCTTGTTGTGTAGGACGGCAGTATTAGGCACTGAGACGCTTAGAGGCTGAGGAGCTTTTAGAGGCTGGCACGAAATTTATGTTCCCGCTTTGCGCATGCAATGGGAAAGTCACAGGACGGGCAGCTACTTTATCGAGAACTGAAGTGGCTGTTGAAGACATCTGTCGAGCTGTCCTTGCAAATGATGCCCGCAAACTTGTGACGGCCGCAGCTTCCGCAGCCATCCGAAGCGCTGTACTGATTGTATTGTAGGTCCCACACGACGTCGGCGACACGTTCATGATCCTGAAACCATCGAAGGAATCCAGCCTGAAGCCTGAGGACGGGCCACAGCAGCCACAGACCGGGCGGGCAGTAGCCGTTCCAGGTCGACACTCGACAAATTACGGCTTGGTGTTGGAACAGTCAAGCTCACATGCAACAGGGCAGCTATACAACACGAGATACAGAGGGAGTGTGGGGCCAGTGACAACTTGCTGGGGTCTCATGGTATGGCTTGCATTGAAGCCCCAATCAAGTCCTTCGGTTTGAAGCTCACTCCACCCGTCTTGGCACGTTTTTTTGCACGTGCTCTGGCCGAAATGAACTGTTGGCAGTATCGCTCTGTCCATCTTGTTGGTAACAAGCCAAGGTACACTGTGTCGGCAATGGCCAGTTCTTCGAAGACATGAGCCCCTGGGCAGTTGCAAGAGAACCAGATCGTATAGACTGCTTCTGGCTGCTTCCTGTACACTACCATTGCGCCGCTGGTGTGAAGCATTCGTCGCTCGTGCTTTCACAGAAACAGAATGCAGGATCATACGGGGGAGGAAGGTTCAGCTATCACGCTGATTCGAACTTAGCCCATCTAAAACTGTTGTTATCGAATGCTGAGCAGTACGTACCTCTCGTGAAGGCCTATCTGTAGCTCAAAGCCACACTGTCTGCCAGTCGAATCGTCAGATTTGCTGCAAGCGTGGCTCTGCTGCACGAGGCACTCAAGCTTCTCGCCCCGTCGCTGCTTTGGAGCACGGATGCCTTCTCGGAAGCGAACAATGTGTTCTCGTGCTGGGTCTTGGCTGCAGTCTGCTCATCTTCTTACTAGTCGTACATGCTGCTGGATGCTCCATGGACCTTGTCCATGTTCCCTGTTGACGCGAGATGGGCGAACACTCGACTTGCGATGCCCAACTGCTGGTCATCTTGCAACTTACTTCAAATATCTTCAAGCCCGAGCGGCAACATCACGACTCAATTAATTCTGCCGTCTGCAAGTACTGTCGACTCTGAAAGCGCCTGGACAAACTGCGCCATGTCGCCAAAACCTGCGGGCAACTTAAACTCTTCACAGGTGAGAAGTAGATATTCCTATCCAAAACACTTATAGGCGCTCGCTCTGAGCACCTAGCGTTCCATTAGTCGCTTCTCTAGCTCCAGAGCACGTCCGCCAGGGTCCTCAGATCAGAAGGCCACGATGCAGCTAGCAAGTGATGATTTCAGTTCCTTGCCATTTGGCCCTAGATTTGGAATGAACTGGAGCCGAAGATGCTACGTCCAGCAAAAAGTCACGAAAGGGCCTTGCGCTATGCACATCATGTGCTATCTACTCCACGCAATCTAAAACGGCCAAGCCCGAACAAAACTCTCCCAACATCCGCGCACCTCGTTGCCTCGACCACGCCCATGGAAGTGTCCAACGTGAGAAAGCCTTCACATCCGACCCCCAGACAAACTTTGCGGCGCGCGAAGACTGTTATTTCTTGCATGTGGCCTTCCCGGATTGGGCACAGACTGTGGACGATCAAGAATCGACGGAAGCGCTCGACCTCGATGCGGCACTGAGCATGTGTGTAAGAGGTCTTCGACAGTCCGACAGATTTACCAGCCTGCTCGGAACCAGCTGGTTTGCATTACGATGTCAGGGGGCTGGTTTCTGTTGCACGGCTCTGTTACGGCCGGCTCCCGTTACAGCAAATACTCGGTTAAATTCTGCCCTGCTGCGAAATGCTCCTCCAGGTCCTTCACCTTCAACCCTGAAAGACGTGCGAGTTGTTCGGACTCTGCCTTGCAGGCAGGGAACATCGCACTCACAGCATCTCACCCACTCTTTCGAGAACCGTAGCTTCAACTTGGTCGCCTTCAGTGCCGCCAGCTCGCTCACCTCGCTGACCGCCTGTTTCTGATGACCCCAACAGCGGCAGGATGCCACCCAGCCCTGCATCGAGGTTTTCAAAGGCTCTGGTACTTCGAATGCCGCTGTGTGTACGTCTTGGTTCGAGCCTTGTTGTCGCGCGAGTCGGGCTCATGCACCTTACGGTGTCCACATGTTTCAACTTGTTCAAGCTGCGAGTTGCAACTCCATGAACTTAGAGTGGATGCTGAGCCGCACACTTCAAGCAGCTCCTTGGCGCACACGACAGCTTCATGATGACAAGCGTGTAGTCTAGGACAGAACCCTGCTGCATGCAAACATGCTCTACACACACATATATATATATATATATATATATATAATATGTGGGATTTGATCTAAATTGCTTCGTTCCGGAATGACCTTCTTCACGGATAAAAAAGTAACTTTCGCGCCACCGTCGCGCAACTTTCGCGGAGGCATACTTACATACCTTTGCAAGCTAGACACCTGATTCCTGTGAGGGTTCTGTTCGGCGTTCCTTGGAGTGTTCCTTTTAAGGCTTGCTGCGAGGTTGCGCTTAAATGGTTTTTTGCAAGGTTCTTTTGAAGGTTCTTAGTCCTCATCAAAAATCCACCCCCTAAGACGGCCATTCGCGAAAGGCACCAACAATGTCCATTGGGGGCTGGCCTTGATCTGGCGACTTCGACTTTAACGCAACTTACGCGGAACTTGCGCGGAACTTACGCGCTAAATCCTCCACACGAACCTATTTTTTGGGTTTGTCGCTGCTTACACTTAGCATCGACAGTGCTGCAAGGAACTGCACACAGCGTGAACCGGAAACTCGTCTTCGCTACTGTTACACAGAAACGTACACAAGCAGTTCTGAACCCACCGCGGAGTCTTCGAGAGTGCAGGTTCAAGCGTGTTTGGAGTCGAGGGTCCAAGGTGCATAACAGCCAGTAGTGCTAGTAGTAGCAATAGTAACAGTAATAGTATTAGCAACAGTAACAGTAACAACAACAGCAGCAATAGTCATCGTAATCGACATCGTCATCGCAATTGTCGTAGTCGTTGTAGTTGTCAGTAGTAGTAGTAGTAGTAGTAGTAGTAGTAGTAGTAGTAGTAGTCGTAGTCGTAGTCGTAGTGGTAGTAGTAGTAGTAGTAGCAGTAGTAGTAGTAGTAGTAGTAGTAGTAGTAGTAGTAGTAGTAGTAGTAGTAGTAGTAGTAGTAGTAGTAGTAGTGGTAGTGGTAGTGGTAGTGGTAGTGGTAGTGGTAGTGGTAGTAGTAGTAGTAGTAGTAGTAGTAGTAGTAGTAGTAGTAGTAGTAGTAGTAGCAGTAGTAGCAGTAGCAGTAGTAATAGTAATAGCAATAGTAACAATAACAGTAGGTCAACACATAACTTTCGCAAAAATTAAAGTAACTTTCGCCGCACCATCGCGGAACTTTCGCGAAGGCATATTTAGCTATGCAGCTGGCCGTTCATATAAATTCTACCACAAGGAGCTTTAGATCAACTACCATGTATGTACGAGAATATGTCTAGGCACACGCACACATATATAGCTTGTGATAGATAGATTTAGCCATAAACAGATAGATAGAAGTAGAGACAGAGAGATAGGTAGATAGATAGATAGAGAGAGATACACAAAGATAGCTGGAGATAGACAGAGACCGATAGAACGAGATGGACGGAGACTGCTAGAAATAGGTAGAGACAGATAGACTGGCAGATAGATAGCTCAGATAGTATAGATAGATAGATTGATAGATAGACAAAAGGACCGGTTCTGATTTAGCCGGGAAGACATTGCGCCAAGGAGCCAAGACATAGTCAGAATGCGCGTGCAGATGCCAGAGGAGGCGAGGTGCGCCCGGCAACATGACACCGACACTGAGCAGCTGGCAGCCTGCACTGAAAGCGGCTCTGTGGTGAGCTGTGTAACTTCCAGAAACATCCCAACATCAAAGACTTTTCTGATGAAAGACTTTATGGGGCCAAGTAGTCCAAGTGCAAACCGAACTGTCGCAGCAGCTTTGCACCTGGGGTCTCTCACATCAGCTGCGCTTATGACTTCAAGGGGCACTGGACCAGTCAATCTCCGGCACCTTGGCTGAGCAGATGCAGATCTTGAGCTCGTCTGAAATCCTCCAGCTGGGCTTCCCCACCTGCTCAAGTCTTCACGGACATGCGCACTTGCGCAAACCAAAGCAATGAAAGCACCTCCATGCAGAACAAGCAGATCGACGCACCCAGCGCCACGACGCTGCAGGACCTGCTCAGGAGGAACCAGCTGCCTGACCTCCCGTCCGGGCTTGTGTAAGTTAACTGCAAGCTCCAGTCGCAGCGGAACTTCACATCTGATGCGTGACATCTTCCGCAAAAGACACTAGAGCCCTTTCTTCGGGCTATGGTCTTTGCAACTTGGGCCGCGGTTGTAAAAAGCAGCAACCCTGGCGCTTCATGTCTAGAGTCTGGCTGCCCGCTGCAAAGTGACTTGAAGCCTACGAATGTTGCGATGGCAGATATGCCCCACGAAGAGAATCGACTCGTCATAACTTCCAATGTGCATCTGTTCATAGATGTCGAAGTATCACGAGCATATGGCTGACCTTGGATTTTACTCGACCGGGGATTGAAGCTGCTTGGCTGCATAGCTTTGGTGCAATACTGGCCTTCGCTGGTATGCGACTCAGCCAGTAAATCGGATTGAGTTGGTGCGTTGTCTTTCTGGTGGAGCTTTCCACAGCACACATGAAATCAAAAAATCAGTACAGCCACATTCATGCCGTAATTGCCCTCATTGCCTTGACGTGGTTGAGGTGGGGCCCAAGTTCAGAGTATCGCAGGATCGATGCGTCATCTCTCGTTCACATCATGCTGTGCGTTTTGCCGTTGCAGCTTGAACAGAAGCAGCGCTCCAGTCGGAATGTGATAAAAAAGAGTTGACTTTGACAGGTCGGCTTCGGACTCATAAATTGTTCTTTGTCTTTCTTCCTTCGGAGAACACAGCAAGCAGCAGAAACATTAACTTGCAGGATAGAAGATAAAGAAAATAACTCGGCACAACGACGTGCTGTACCTCCCCCTTCGGCCGCCCTCACCCCTGTCTTGCCGAGCTAACACTCACTACTACTCCCAAGGGGCATAATCCGGAAAAGGTGAAACGAAGCAGATTGCAGAATCCACATCGGAATGCCCCAAAAGAGCAGTAAAGCCGTTCCTTCTCCATGAGATACTCGGCTGGCCCCATGTGCACCTGGCGACCGACTCATTCCTTGTGCAAGCACCAAAGCCGAAGCTAGTGTGGCCTCCAGATTAGGCGCCCATGCAGCAGCGCAGCGCCGTAGCCCGGCAGCAACGATCGCAGAGTCTTCTAGACCTCAAAGGCCATTGTGAAGTGGCACTGGTGCATTGCCTGGTGTCACGTCGTGAACCCGTCCCCGCTTATGTTTCCAAGATCCGAGTGGCACCACACAGGGCACCTGACTGCCATAGCCAAGGCCAGCGCATCTTCTCCACCTTCCACTTCATTCTTTGGAAGATGCAGTCCATCAAGACAAACCCAGATTGAAGCGGATTGAATAAAACTACACTTCGACGTTTTACTGAGAGTCCCGGCCTCGGATATCCAAGGCGAACTGCGGCGACACTGTGAAGCGCGCCAACTGTGCCTCAGCTTCTTTGATGCACAGCCTGTTGGGAGGCCATCATGCAAACGTGCAGTGAGCAGCTCACTCCAATGCGATGTGATGTAAACAAGTAAACGTTCAGATGGGGTCCTTAAGACAAACAAGATTTATTCAAGGCACAGCAAAGAAAAATGCTGTAGCAGAGCTGGGTTGGACAAGGCAAGTAGGTCATCGTCCCGTAGCGGGAGCGAGGGAGACAATGTAGGAAATGAACAAACCAATGATCAAGTACGTCTCTCTTTCTGTATAACACATACAGACATACATGCTTGCATGCGTACATACATACGTATGGACCTGTGTCTGACCAGGAGTTGACATGCAGATACACTTATACACGCGCACGCACACACACACAAATGCAGATTTGTATATGTGCACATGGATGTGTGCATGTGCATATATGCAGAGGTATGTATGTCTGTATCTATGTACGTATGCCACGGACCCCAGCCCGAAAGGCTACGCTCGAGGCTTGCAACCAACATGCCCCCCGACCCGCAGCTAGCATCGCTGGAGCACCAGCTCCAGCTTCAGCACCGCGTAGCAGTTCAGCCTGCGACTCCGGTGCTTGGACTTTCTGGATGTGTCGTCCCGCTGGCATCTGGCAGCTGTGGACCGGGCCAGCCGCTGCAACTGCTCCGAGACCTCCAGCTGAGGCGTCGCAGGCAGGCCGCTGCTCTCCTCATGTTCTGAGTCACTGAGCCCGACAGGTTCTTTAGTTGTATTGATTTCCGCGAAGACCGTACAAGGCCTGCGTCCGAAAGCCTTGGCATGTTGCGGCGCATCGTCGCACTGCAGAGGCAAATGGCTCCGGGAGGTCCTGGCCCACCCGGACCCGAAACGCGTGTCGTCCGCCGACATGAGGCTTATTGTGTGGCTTGTTCTTGTTCACCCACACGTCCTCCGCGAGCCGCTGCCAAAGCCGTGCGGCGAGGCTTGGATCCGACCTGGTTGCGCCACGTGCCGTTGCGCGTCGTCACTGCGATCCGTCACTTTCTGGCTTTCTGGCTTTTTCTGCCAATTGGGGCCTCTCTGCCGTCGCGAGGAGGACCGACCAGGTCGTCGTGTCTGTGTTCCGGCAAAGGCGGCCTTGGACACCGTGGACGCTTGCAGACGTAGCATTCGATGATCGAGGCCGCGACAAGCATCTGTCACCCTCCCAGCTTTGCAGAAGAGGCGAACTGCCGCCGCCAGCTCCTGTGACCCCGAAACCAGCACCATTGGCTGTAGAGAGACCTTCGAGCACAACCCACCTGCCCCGGCTGCAACACCTTCGTCGACAACTCAGACAGCCCACCTAGACGTCAGGAAGCAGGAATGCTGTCTCAGGCCAGCGAGGCTGCTCCAAGTGAATGATCATAGGCTTGCGACAACTGAACAAGCCGTGGCACTTTCCAGGACTGAAGTCAATTTTTCCTGCATGCTCAATCAAGGTGCGACACTTGCATGCATGGTCCGGCACATGGGCTGCTTCCTTAATGCAAGTCCTTGTGCCCGAAAGTCACGGCAGCTACATCTGATTCCTCGCTGTGCGCAATGAGGATGCCTCAGCAGACTTGTTAGGGCGAGGGACTACTTTCCACATGTAACTCAGAAGCACCGGCCTCGCCTTGATGGTCACGCAGCACGACAAATGCGGAGAGCAGATTGATCAGGGAGTGCGTGTCTAATTCGGATATCCTCCAAACACCGCTGTTGTTTGCAGGTTTGCAGTGGCCGCCATGCGCAAGCATCCCAGAAGCCACCTGTGAGATGCGACTTGGGCCATGTCCTCAGCCGTCAGCCCTAGAGTTCAGTACTGGCAATGCCCTTGAATGCCTGAGTCATGTCATGTCTGCACAAGATGATGTGAAAAGTGAAACGGGAAGGTTGGGCATATGTGACAGCGACCACACTGAAAGAACGATACATGTGGTGCGGACAGAGGCACACCGATGAGCTCCTCATCCTCCCAGCGGATTTTCGCAAATCCCCAGCAGACCGCACCTGATACCCGAAACGTCAGCGACGTCAGCGCATGCGTGCCAAGTTCGACTCGCAACGTAATTTCACAATGTTGATACTAGCATGCGCATGGCACACAGCTCGTCGGGTCGATAACGCCACAACCTGCCACCCTTGCACTCCTCGGATTGGACTCGACATGCGGACCGTGTACTCTGGGATCCCACGTAAGCTTCTCTGCATGCCAATGCTGCTTGAGCGCACGGGCCACAGCTTTCCAAGCCGATGCATCTGCGATGTCCAGAGTAGCATATGCCCATGCGAAGTTTGCCACATACTGGGCCTCCACCACATCTCAGTCTACCGACCCGCTGCACCAGACACTCTCTGAAAGAGTGAGGTCACCTGCCTCAAACACGCTCGCGTGCTGCGCCATGAAATCCTTGCATGGGCGGAATGCAGATTTTTCAGGCAGTGTTTCCCTTGGACATGCTGAGAGCCTGAGATCCCAAGGCCCCCTCGATTTGGGCCTTCCATCTAAGTCGAGCGACGGAGAGCTCTGAAAACAAAGGCTCATGGGCCACCCGCGCCACTGCAAAAGCCCAAGCCATCTGGGCGGCCTCTGTGCGGGCTCTCAAAATACGTCCCATGTCTGACTGTGATCCATGTCTCCTTGACCGACCTGAAGCACGATACTTTCCTGAAGGCAGATTGACCAGCACAATGTTGCCAACCCTGCTCGGAACTCCAGGCTGAGCCCACGGGCTCGAAATGCGGGCTCATCTTTCTTCTTTCTTCTGGCTTTGCTTTGGGGACAGTAATGCTTTCTTGACACCAGCAGTCCAGCAAGCGAGCAACGGCCCGTCTGATCCTGCCCGGAATGTGCACTGTTCTGTCCCTTGGTTCCAGCTCTTGAAGGCGTTGTTTCGCGGATTCTTGCGAGTTTCTCACAGCGATGGAGCTTGTAATGCAGTGGCGCGAACATCGACATTGCAGCGCGAACATGACTCCTTTTGACCGCAAAGCTTGGAGATGGCTGCAAGAACACGAGCACTCATACAAGATTGTGGCAGTCGTTGATTGGATGGTCCATTCAGAAAATGGCTCAGGAGATCGATGCAAGTGGCTCCGCACGATGTTTTGCAATGTGCTAAGAGCCCGCTTTCACAGATCACTTCGCAAGCTTCAACAGACAACTTGGATTACAACAGAGCTCAGAAGCTCAGAGTCAATGTGAAGACTACGGTGAAGATTCACAAAAATCCCATCGATTACAGACCGATTTGCAACAGTGCCAAATTCTGTTTATGCAATGCTGGCATCTTTGGGCGGCTATCTGCAGCCGATTGTTCACAAGTGCAAACCTTTCTCGTCGAATGGGCCGACAATTACAAGCCTACCCGTGACGATATGTTCGCGTCTTTTGACATCAAAGCAGACTATCCCAGTCTGCACATTTGGCCGACTATCCCAGTGTGCAAATTTGGCTGGTGGAGCACAGTCCAAAGTCTTTGGATGTGAATACGGTTGCTTCAGCTAGCATTTTGCGCCACTATCGACATCATCAACACAATCCATTCCTCGCGCTCTCCTTGATTCGCTGTTGCATCGTGTTTTGCGAAACCAGTACATGGAGTATGATGGTGAGTTCTATGACGCCAAGCAGGCGCTCAACACAGGTGTGCACGCAGCGAGCGTGCAACTCAATGCCTTCGATGTTCACCTGATGGAAGAATTGCGACCCTGTTGTAAGCAGCGTTTTTGCTACATCGACGACGGCCTGCTGTGTGTTGCTTCGACCATCACATCATCTTCATCGATAACGGATGCCTCAACGGATGGAAGCCAGTATCAGTACTGAGCCGATCTGTCTGTCTTGGGATTGAACCTCGAAATCCTGGATGCTGGAAGTTTGACGGCTGAAGTACGATGCAAAACATATTGAAAACGATTGGACATCTATGGGTGTCTGCCGGCAAATAGTTCTCAGCATCCGACTGTGTTAGATTCCCTTGTCCGAACTGAAGCCTTTCGTTTATTACGCGCCAACAAGCACGAAGATTCATATGCTGCTCAGCTAACTTTCGCTGCGGACAAGTTGGTCAGACGCGGATACTCCCGACCCAGGCTGGATCGCAGTCTTCGCAAGTACCGGCTCAGTTTTAGGGCTAACATCCTCAACAGCAGCCCGCGCGAAAGCTGCACGACGTTGACTAAATCTTGAAATGTGTCATGAAGTGGAAGTGGTCGAAAAGTATGCCCACCCAGCCCCCCAGTCTGCCAATCAAACTCTGCTCGCGAGCTCACTGGCATCTGATTGCCAGCCTGTTGTTGCGCACACTGTTAGCCCGAATCTGTTCAGGAAGCTGTGCAAACGCACATGGGCATGATTTTCCCCAACTCAAAGGCCGTTTGTGGTTGGAAGGCGGGGGCCTTTGCTTGAAAACAACCCGAGACATGTTCGCGCGCACCTGGTGCATGCGCTTGTCATCTGCAGGATGCAGACAGCACAATGCTCACTTTTTCTGCACAAAGTTCGACAGGCCACAGGCGAAAGCGCTCACAGCAGAAAAGTCTTGATGGTGAGCTTGCTGCAGTTGCTTCTCTTTTCTCGCGGTTGAATGCTTTACAAAAGCGCCAGGAGGTGTTGTCGCCCAGCTTCTGATGATCGATGTCTCCATGCTAGCCCATCTGCTGGCTGCCGAAAACGTGTTCGCATCTCCCTTGCACATTTGCAGGCGGTCGTTTTCGTTGGTATCGTGCCAGGAAACCTTATCTTGGGCAACTCGCGCATATGAGAAAGCCAAAATTTGGCTTTGTCTGGCTGGCTGCTCGAAGTTATCTCGATTGTTGCTGCATCTATCTCACTGCTTGATCTATGTCGACCCGATACTGCACCGAGATGTGGACCATCTCAGCTGAGTAGCGCTTTACAAAGCCGCAGGAAACCTCGTCAGCGTGGAGAAGATGAAGGATGCTTGCATAAGTGCATCGGTGGATTCCGGAAAGCTGCAAAATTCCTTTTTTCGACGCTATCGCCCTTTGCAGCAAGCATGCCACTCGCAAGGGTGGCTTCTGTTCCGACTCCGGGTGCTGCTCTTATCGAAGTCGTCGGGAATGCTCTCTGAACCAGCGACTGTGAATGGCGACGAAATGACAGTCACAACGTCATGTTGATATGCGGCCACGATGATGCACACTGGACGAATGTCCACGAAGGAGCAATAGGATGAAGTGCGAATATGGCGGAGCTCATCAGCCACGGTCATTGCTGCAACACGGCTTGTTGCTGTGGCACACCCGGGTCAGCTCTACACAGTGGCGGCCCAGTGCCTCAGAAATATGTATCGAATCCGGGTCCAGGAAGTGCCCTTCAAACTGGGGGAACGTGTACCACTTGAACCTTTTGCCCTGGCCGATGGAGTCGATAGTAGTGAAGATGCCACGTACAGTTCCAAGCTTGTTCCGGCAGAGGCGAATATCTGAAGCCCAGAGATCGGTGCTGCCACGAGTCTTACCCACCGATCCCTCAATTGTGATGACACCGGATGACACTATCCTGCGATGAGTTGGTACGAGCTGCAGCTGCGAGCGTGTCATGTTCCAGTCCCCGTCCAGGCTCGTGTGGCGAATCGCATACATAACTACGATGCAGCTGTCATCCACTGAGACCTGCTTGGCAAATATCTCAAAAGGTGGAACCTCGCGTCCAAGGCGGTATAGCTCTGCAGATATAACCTGAGACCACTGTGGCTTCTGCCGGTTCGTCGCCCCACCCTGGCGCTTGAAGTCTGTTGCAGAGACCCGCCAGTGGATTGTGGGGGGGACAAGGAACGGCATAACGCTCTGCGCCAGAACACTGGACGGCAGCACGCAGTCTGAGCACCTCTTCCCCATGTCTGCAGCAAGCCAGACAAGCTGCTGCAGTTCAGGCCACCAACAATCGCGCTGCGGCCGGAATTCCACAGAGAGAAATTCCGCCATGGGTCTCGGCTTCAGCAGAAGCCTTAAAAGCTTTGATCTGCGTCTGTTCAGAAAAGTGAGTGTGAGAGAGAGAGAGAGAGAGAGACAGAGAGACAGAGAGACAGAGAGACAGAGAGACAGAGGGACAGAGGGACAGAGAGACAGAGAGACAGAGAGACAGAGAGGGAGAGAGGGAGAGAGAGAACCGGTGTGGGTCGTTGAGTGAGAGTGCGAACAACAGTAGTGTCACAGTAACAGTCGCGTAATGTCTCGTTACAGTGAGAAAGAAAACAAAACAAACAGGAGAAAGATCGAGTGTGAGTTTGTGTGTGTGCGCACTTCGCAGGTGTTGTCGCGTTAAATTGCAACTGTATGACGACAATCCTTGCGCAGGAGAAGAAAATCCATCACGGCGTAACCTTCGGCAAGGACGGCGAGCCTGCTAAATCTGTGCATCTAGGACATTCCACAACGTACGCATCTGGAGCATTCTTGGGCTCCAGCCGTATGATTGGCAAGCTTGTCGAAAAGCTCCTCAGCTCAAGAACGGGACAGAGTACAATCATGCTCCGTGGGCAGCTATTGCTCTTGACCGAGCTGCAAAATCTACAGCATCAGCACGACCCATCGCCTCAAAGTACAGCGACGCATTGGAGGAACGAAGGAACTCGCGAAAAGTTACACACACTAACCCATCTGATTTTCCGTGCCAGGGCACCCAGCAAAGGCTGGTGACATCAAAGTCCGCAAAGTCGGGGACTTGGGACAGACTTCGCCTGGACACCACCCCTTGGGCGACCAAACCACAATGAGCAAAAAAACAGCTGGTCGCCTTCTGATTGCCTCAAACAGCTCTGAGTTCTCTATGCCAAGGCGAGCCTCGAAACAGGAGCAGCAGCTCAGCAGTTGTGATCTTGGTGGCAATTTGTGGTTGTTGGCAGTGGTTGCGCGGCCCTTGGCGTTGAGACGACAACCGTTTTCCCCGACGGGTACCCAAAAGAGCTACGACGGACGAAACCCTTCTTTTGGATGGTTTGAAGCGCATTCGCGCCGGGTCCGTCGCAATCGCCAGTACTAGGCAAGCCGGCGCCGGGGGACGCTTTTAGCTGCCCCGGCCCGCTGCCCGCCAGCGAGCGACGACCCGAATCTCTCAAAGTAAAACGAGATAGGGCGGTGAGGGTGGGAGCTGAAAAATCGTCGGGGGACGTGGAGCCAGCAGCAGCTGCGGCATCCACGTCGATTCGACGGTTGTCCCTACGCACATGAATGTGCTACACGACAACCGTTTTCCCCGACGGGTACCCAAAAGAGCTACGACGGACGAAACCCTTCTTTTGGATGGATTGAAGCGCATTCGCGCCGGGTCCGTCGCAATCGCCAGTACTAGGCAAGCCGGCGCCGGGGGACGCTTTTAGCTGCCGCCCGGCGCTCCCCTCACCCACTCTGCGCCGGCTTAGCCCGCTCACACCGCAAGATTTAGTAACTCGTCGGCGGCGTCGTTAACCGCAAAGTCCAGGTCGGCGGCGGCCCGGGAGAGCACGTTGAGGATCGACTCGACGGGTGTGTGAACCCGCTCCCAGCCGGAACTTTCCGCCGTGTGAAGGTCTCCTCTCGACACTGCGTCGGAGACGTTGGCTTTGGACGGCACCCGACGGAAGTCGGGAAGCCATTCCGACAGAGCCGCCGTGGACCAAAAGGCCGCCAAGACGCCGTTGACGGCGGGGTCCTTCCCGTACCCTTTGGTGAGTGCCCATTGGCCGGCGACGTTGTCGATGAAGGCCAGCCACCTCTGGGGCAACCGACGGGACAATGTGACCAGCGCCAGAACCTGGGCGACGATCTCGAGGACGTAGATAAATGCCCGACGGGAGGCGAAAATGTCCAGGAACTTGGCCGGCACCACGCCGCAGTCGTAGAAGACGAGGGCGCCGATGCGGACGACGAAGCCCCAGCCGTTCCGGCCTCGGGTCCCCGGCCGGACTCCGACTTCTGCCATCTTCTGCCGGTATGTGCCCGGCTTTGTGTTTCACCTCGCCGGGCTGGTAGAAGGCGTCGGCGTAGATGATCGCCGCCGGGGCCCCGTCATCTATGATGGGTACCCTCCTCGGCCGGATGTCTGCCAGCAGGGCCCGGAGAGACGTGAGGGCTGCCCGGAGGCCCGTCGACAGCGACGTGGCCGACGTGGCCGCCGCGTCGTGTGCCCTTGAATAGACGGGCTGGAGGGCTGCCTTCCCCAGGGCGCCGAAGGTCGACTGGGTGATGAAGTTGAGCTTGCCGGCCAGACGGTTCGCCACATCCGGCGTGAGCTCGTCGTTGGCCAGTGCGGCGTCGATCGTCGTCAGGACCTTCTTGACGCGTCGTTCGGTCGGCTGCAGGACCACTGCGTCGGTCTCGACGGATACGAGGACCCCCTGGACTGTCTGTTTAGTCGCCGGGGCCTGGGCCTTGGACGGCTTCGTCTGCAACCCGACGAGCTCGAAGAAGTCGGCCATCGCCCGGAAGGCCGAGTTCGCCGACTCGTCCATGTCGACGCCGTTGAAATCGTCGACGAAATGGCCGGCCAGGATCCAGAGGAGCACCCGCTGTATGGCCTGGAGGGCGTCGGCTGTCCGGTTAAAGTGCCATACCGACGACGCGGCGGCGCCGAAGCACATCGCCATATGAAACCAGAGGGATACGCCGGCTGGGCTCGCGATGAAGGTGCCGGAGTGCGCCGGGTGCTTGACCGGCCACTGGCGGTAGGCGTTGAGGAGGTCGTGCCCGAATATCCTCGCCAGCGTCGCCGGCCCCCCCGCCTGGTCGACCACTCGCCGGACCATATCCACGAAGTCGTCGACGAAATGGTGCGTCGGGACGTCGTGGGCCCTGACGGTGGAGTTGTGTCCGGACCTGCGCCAGTCTTCGGCGCGACGGACCTTTGCTCCTCCCTGTTCGTCTTCTTGCACGACGGGGAAGGAGGCTGCGGCAAAGGCCTGGCCCGGCGGCGGCGGGACCAGACGGTCAGGAGTGCCGTCGTCTTGAAGTTCCAACCGTCGGGGGCCCGGGTTGGGCCGACCACCCGGCCGAGACGGACTTCCTCCACGAGCTCGGCGAGGAGGGTGTCGGTGTGCTCCCCGACGGTGGCTGTGGACGCCCGCCGCTTAATGTACTCCCAGTTCGCCGACGCGAAGTTCTCGATCGACGCCGGGTTGGAGTACTTCTCGTCGGTTCTGGTCCTCCACCCCGGGCCTCGGCGGAGTTCTCCCAACATGTCGAAGCCGTCGGTCAGGTCCTCCTGCATGCCGGGGACGTCGGGGTAGCCGACGATGCGGAGCAACTCCAGGATGACGGGGATCTGCGTCGGTCTCGCCTTGCCCGGTGTTGAGTATGTCGCCCTGACCGACGGCGACCGCTGCTCCAGCCAGCGCTGCGTGTGGTCCTCCATGTCGTCGACGAGGTAGGAGATGTCCTGTAGCACCTCCTGCCGGATCCTCGCCAGGTCGTGGCGCCACGACCGCCAGAGGAGCAGTACCCGCTCCAAGGCCGGCTCCAGATCGGGCCGCCGGGTCACCGTGCAATGCCGCAGGGACGCCGACAGCTGCCAATGTAGGTCCGGGTCGTCGTCGGGGAGGTCGATGTCCGGTCGGTGTCGCGGCGGTGGCTCCATCGGCACCGGTCCCCCGCCGAACTGTTCCGCTGCCCACTGGAGGGTTGACCGACGGGGCTCAGGTACCGGTGCTGCCGTAGACGAGGAGGCGACGGAGAAGGCCACGATGATCGCCAGCAAGCGGCGGGCTACCCCCCAGTGCCATCCGTTGGCGATGACGCGGTGGCGGGCGGTGTCGTCGACGAAGCTGGCCTGGGTGTAACCCGACGGAATGTGATGAAGGCGCTCCTTGACGCCCGCCGGGATGTTGTGGAGGCGGCCCGCGTCGTCATGCATCATGGCCTCCTCGACATAGTGCCAAGGGGCGAACCGTCGGCCGTCCGCCGCCCAGCGGGCCTTCGCCGGTTCGGGGAGCTTCTGCCGGACCCTCTTCGGAGGCTGTCTCCCGCCGGCGTCTTCCGCCGGTGTTGTGGAGCACGGGAGGCGCAACCTGCCGGACTCGACGGACTGGTGGAACGAGAGGCCGGCCTCGGTGAGCTCGTCCGCCGGTTGTCTCGGGGCCTCGAGCCGGAGTCGGCGGTACGAGCCTTGCTTCGACCACTGAAGCGGTCGGCCCGACGCCGGATCCACCAGGGCGCCGGTCAGGTCCGCCGACATCCACCATAGTCGGGGCCTGGAAATCCAGCCGAAATCCGACCCGCAGACCAGGACCGGCTGCACGCCGAGGGCGTCGCTGATCTTGGCGGCGTCGGCGGGCTCCATCACGACGTTCTCGAAGAGGAACGCCACCTGCCGGTCGGAGAGGTCGGCGAGGATCTGGTTGAACATGTCGACGGTGAGGAGGAAAAGGCTCCCCCGCTCGCCCGCGTGGCCGGTCGCCGGGCCGATCCGCGAAAAGTCTTGGCAAGGCGGAGCGGCGGTGACAACCACGGTGCACTCGCCCGTCGGGTCGGCCTTCCTGATAGCCGCCGCGACGGAGCCGGGCGACTCCGATGTGACGTCGCCTCTGTGGACCAGCCACGGCAGCCTCGTCGACGCCAGCCGTCGGCAAGTGGCGTCAATCTCCCACGCCAGCGCCAGGGTCGGTTGACCGAATAGATTTTCCACCAGCGCCGGGGCCGCACCGATCCCGTCAAAGAACGAGAGTAGGATGATTTTGGGCGCCCGCCAGGTGCGCTTGAGTGCCGGTCGGACGACGGTACTAGCACAGTGGCTCCCGGGTACCTCGCCGTGGTTGTCCGATCCGGGCGAGGCCCCGCGCTGTCCCTAGCGGCGGCGCTTGGGGTCCTCCCGACGTCCTTCCCACCGCGACGGTCGTCCTGGTCCCACTGGCCCCAGGACTGGCGCC